ATGGAGTCCGGCAAAACCGAGATCCCAGACTCTGGACTTGCATCAAGAAATGGCTCAGTCCCTGTTGACAATTGAGGGCCAAGACTTTTTGATACGCGCATATATGGAATTAATTAATCACTTCTTATCATGATGATATGCTTACCACATGAATATGTATGTTGCGCGAATGGGAGACAATGTACTGGTGATCAATCAATGTATTTTTCTGCCTGCCAATTTCGAAAGTTGCATGCTGCTGCTCGGCTCAGTGTTGTTGCTTGTACCCCGGATTCTCGGAGAATATGCAATCTACCCTCCATCTTCATCCTAGCTGCCATGCGCATCAACTCCGACGCTGCATTCTAGATACTCCCTAATATCGACTTGATGTGTTAACCGGAGACTTGTTCATGCCCTATGGGATGGGGAGTTGAACGGGTGCAACCATGAAAAGCGGTGTCGCCACCCTAATTCGGCCATCCTCCGCAGGTGAGGCTCAGGGTCGACTCGGCAGAGAATCACGAAGAGGGCACAGGTGTTTGACAGGAGCAAGTGCCTTACGGATGAATGGAAGTTGTAGTTGGTGCAAAATGATAGCTGTTGGCGGCATTGAAGATTGCCTACTAGATAGTCCTGCGATGCCATGATCCCATGCAGCATTCTTCTGGGAGCTCGCGCTTCCCTCTGATCGACTTTGAAGGCACTGATCCTTTCCCTTACGGGGTGATCGCTGGCGGCATGATATTGTGGATAGCGATCGACAGCCTCGTGCTATAAGAGTGCATAGACGATAATGTTCAGATGACTGTCTAGATAGGCAACGATATCATGTGTACAGGGAGGTGCAATATAGGTATGCACGAACTACATCCAATCTCACGACAGGCTGCTCACTTGAATGTCGAGCACAGGAATGGTGGACAGCCTCGTATGGCTCTGACCGAGAATGAGTTGTTTGAAAATGATGCTTTCACGGGAGCCTGCTATCAACATGGGAGGATCTGTTACAGTTGGGAGAATGTATCATGTCCATGAAGCTCGAAAAGAACTTGAGACCCCTTCAATCCTCGCTCCTCTGCTTTCTTGTACCCATGACCCCTAACACAAATGCCGAGCACTTGACTTTGCTCTGGCTAGACATGCACTGCAGATCAACGGTCGTCTGGGGGATCTTGGATTAGCCTTTTTTTCCTCAAGTGGAATTTTGACAACCATGACTAAAATCATGACTAAAATATCTCCCTCCCTCTCATGCCTTCTCATGCCGTGGGCGTGGGATCTACCGTCCGTGTCTGGTCTTCTTATCGGCCGATCAAACAACATCTGGATCTTGTTTGACGGATTGATCTTCGTCCGAACTCAATCGGACAAAAAGCTTTTCAGGCACCCCACGTTTTTTTTCTTCTTCTTGAATCATGGTTAACAGATTTGCTCCGATCAAATTCTACGATGTGCATATTGTTTCGGGGTCCTTGGTGGGGCATTATAGTGGTTTGTCTCACTCAATTGCCGGCAGTCCACTGGAATCATTTTGAAGATAGCCTTTCACCATAATGTTACTATACCAATTTTTACAGAAAAAAATGCCAAAAGAAATGACATTTCAAATTTTCTGGTTCCCAAGCAATTTTTTTGTTTTTATTTTTTTTTTCTTGTTTTGTGCACTCTCTGAACATGTCTTGGTGGAACCGCTACCGTTTATTGACGTGGAAATCTTGGCAGCATTTTCAGGGGAAGGGTGTGGTAACACACAAACATTCCGGAAGGCGGACAGGGTATCGACGGCATGTCTGTGCCATCCAAGATAACGCTTTCTGGGGGTCGATAGGACGAAATAAGCTCTGCTTGCGAAGGAACTTGCCGTGGATACTCGAATTGCGTTTTCCAATGCCGTCTTCTGATAGGTCTGCTAGGGGCCTTGTATTCTTTGTTCTTCTCTTCTTCAATGCGCCAGGTCTTTTTTCCATTCTCGATAAAATAATCATGAGACAAATCTCGAGCCTAGGCGAAAGAAACGTCCAAGTTTGCGCTAAGTCCTGGCAGTCGACGTTTGGGAGAGGCGGCTGATGAAATAACATCAGACGAACGACAGCAGCGGCACGAGAGGTCGAAGCGTTCGTTCGCTGGCCCTGCAGACACGGCCTGGCCTGCAACGCCAGCCCGCCCCTATCGAGGAAGGGAAAGCAAGCCACCTTGCACAAAGCTCAAAGGTCCTGCGACGGCGAGCCTCTTAGAATAAATCGTCACCCTCCATCGCCAGCTTGATCGCCGGCCGGATGTCCTTCTTCCCTTTATCTTGCCGACCGAAGCAGAAGGTGAAAGGGTGGAAGAGGAAATGCATAGAGATACCTACCCACGGCGGCAAGAGGTGGCTAGCTGAAGCATGGGTATGAACCCTTTGCATTCACCTTCTCGAAGCCTCTTCTCTCGTCTTCGCCGCAGTCAGTATGCTTGTCATCTCATGTAAGGACCAGACGATGACCAGGGCGCGCATGATCTTAAGGTGCGTTGGTCTGCAGGTACCTGCAGCTACACAGTCTGATCGCTATGCCAGATGACGGCACCAGAGTTTTGGGATGAACCTGTCTGTAGGACTTGCCACTGAAAACCGAGGACTAGAATCTATAAGATATCATGGTCATGTGAAGAGAGAGAGAGAGTGTTAGGACTCTGGTCAATGCCGCCATTATTGACAACGGAAGACGAGAATATTATGCCGTCCGAAGAGGTCATGTGTTGCATTCATTTCCATCAGGACAAGAACGTGCTGTTTGTCTGGAGAGTGAGTCATTGAGCTTGGAGACTTGGTCTCCTTGAGTTTCGTGGCTGGCCAGGGGATCAAGACAATTATGTCGTGGTCTATCGCAGAGCCACGTCACTAGATTTTACACCGATGACACATGAGCCAAGATGGCTGATGATATCCATCAAACTGTGTTTTCGATTATTGGATTATTTTCAGATATAGCCATGTGCCTTCATTACTACGTAACAAGCAAGGTGATATACCAGGTAAGATTCATAGAGTGCACATAATCAGCCATTGTATGGCCGCTGCGAAGAATCAAGGAAAGTTGTCCGAGACTTCAATCTTCATCCTAACTGTAAGTAAAAGGAATCCAAGTAGATGAACAGTAGTCTCACCAATCACTGATCAAAGTCAAGGGGAAGATAGTATAGTTCTGGCCGGAAAAGACTCGACTCTAATAGTATAGATCATTGGAACAAGAGCACAAAGCGAAATAAACACCACCTTCTTAAGTTTATTATTCTGCTTAAGAGCCGAGTTAAAGTAATTTTCTCTCCATTTTTATGTTGTCAAAGTTGAGAGGTCCTAGGATTGCCGGGAGATTCCACTAACTAGATCGTGTCTGTTATGATTGACTTGAGTTTTGCAGCCCTTTTTATTTGCCAAACACATATGAATACTGGTCACAAACCTATCGATGACTGCTTATTATGTGTTGCAGAAGAGTTGAAATTCTGATCAAGTACGTAATATGTTATCGCAGGGGATATTTCACGAATACGGTGATGCGTAACATTACTTCAAATCATTCTGTGCCTATAGGAGCAAGTTGCACCCAGAATAGACTAGCTCGAAGGGTGCTGTATTACTCTTCAGGAATTATACTAATACAGTACTTATATAGGTGCACCAAAGCCACATCAAAAACCATGTTACATCCAATTCTTGAATGGATAAACATACTCGTTCTTGTAATGATTTATGGTGTACTACATCCGTACGTACCCATTGATATTCTGCAACGTTATACAGCTCGCGGCGCACCCAACGCCGATGGAAAATTCTGTGGTGCTGTGGTTGGCAATAGGCTTATCCTGATAGGCCTCGACAGAGTGGAATACCTCAAGGTAGTGGGTTGATTAGTTGCATGATAGGCGGAGCTGGGGGTAATACTCTAAAATTGACTCACAGTGGTTGCAGCAAAATAATTTTGCGGTTTTCCTCTGGCAGAAACTATGCATTCAGCCGATTATCGCAAGTTGAAGCTTAAAAATCCTATGAGTAATTCATCGCTTTTACTACATTTGCAGTTATTAAAAATATACATCAAATTTGCCCTACAATACGCGCAGACTCGGACAATCATGGGAGAAGATGTTATCCGACCTACCTACTAACCTAGGTACTGTACCTAGACTGCCGCCGCCCCGCAAAAGAACGGATAGTCCCCGGCGGCACATGCAAGCAACTGAAGGGTCTGTCTGGAGTCTGGCGGGTAGAGCCTTAAAAGAAAAAGAGCCATAGTGGTCTTGTCATCCAATCGTCTTGTCCTCGCGGGGCTAGAGGCCAGCCACGGAGCGGCCGAATCGGTTACTTTGCTGGGGGGAAAGGGCTGAATTGCAACATGGTTTAATGGCTTAGAAATCTAGCTGCCACCAATGTTCCAGACTGTTGACCTAGACGCAGAGTTGATGGACTGCTTATCTGCCTGATACCTACCTACTCACATCTCATGATAACTACATTATTCTAATCACATTAGTGGCGTAGGTACTGGAAAACCGACCGTTCCTACCTACCCGTCCTACCCGACGCTTCGTACCCGCCAATCGAGAGCCTGATGATTAGTACACTGGCTCCGTAGTGATCATCAATCGTCTGCAAGAAGCGCCCACCCTTGTCTCAGCCCCAAAAGTCGTGCATCGCGCGCAACGGCAGACGACAATCGCTGCATCGCATATACGCACGCTCGCAGCTCGATAAGCAGCTCCGCACATCTGGACATCACGATAGTGGCCTATATCCAAGTCCTCGTACCAATCTACCTGGGTGCTTACTCATCAGCGCAGACTGACTCTGCGATCGGCTTAAGTACCTTACCCCAGGTCTCCAGGATAGAGTGGATCGCAATCATCCCACTTCAGAACCAAACCTGCGCGATTGCGCCGCGGGCTCGTAGACGTCTCGCATCCCATGAAATTCGTGTCAGATCCGGCCGCACACAAACGATTTTGATTCCCCCGAGGCCATCACTGAGGCCGCGCACATGATGGAGGCCCCGGTGGCTGCTCCTCCGCCACTCTCACAGCAACAGCAGCAGCCCCCCGCCCCTCCGAATGTCCCGCAAAGCGATGCGCCGGCAGCCCCTACCAAGAAGAAATCGAGACGGGGCGGAGACCCTTCCCTCCAGAAGCGTCGCTGTGTATCCACAGCCTGTGTTGCCTGCCGCAAACGAAAATCCAAATGTGATGGCGCCCTTCCGAGTTGCGCTGCATGTGCCAGCGTCTATGGCACCGAGTGTGTCTATGATCCCAACTCGGACCACCGTCGCAAGGGTGTCTATCGCGAGAAGATTGATAGCTCCAAGGCCCGGAGCTCGACGCTGCAAATTCTCATCGAGGCCATCTTGAATGCGACCGAGGACGAAGTGCCCGAGATTGTGCGCAAGATCCGTACATGCGAAAGCCTGGACACGATAGCGGAAACAATCCTCAAAGAAGGCGTGGGCAACCCGGACGGAGACGACAATTTGCTGCTGGAAGAGAATTATACCACCGATATGCCCGTGGAAGGAGAGCGGGACCTGGCCCGCAAGATGGGCGAGCTGAGGCTGGAGAATGGATCCGTTCGCTTCATCGGCGGCACCTCCCACCTGATATACTTAGGCAACACCACTGCAACAGACCCCGAGCCCGAGACCATGGATGTAGCCTCAAACGTCGACCCCATTACAAGCTGGACAGAAGTTACCAAGGACACGGAGCTCGTCGTACACCTCTTGAACATGTACTTCACGTGGCATTATTCATATTTTGCGACTCTATCGAAAAACTTATTCTACCGGGACTTCTTTAGGGGGAAGCCCACTGGTTTCTTGCACAAAACAACGTATTGTTCGCCCTTGCTGGTCAATGCTATGCTCGCTCTTGGTTGCCATTTTACCAACGTTGCCGGTGCATACGCTGTTCCAGAAGATGACTGGACAAAAGGCGATCATTTCTTTGCAGAAGCGAAAAGGCTGATTGTTGAGAACGATGAGTACGAAAAGCCTAGACTCACGACTGTTCAAGCGCTGGCTTTGATGTCGGTCAGAGAAGCCGGATGTGGGCGAGAAGCCAAAGGTTGGGTCTACAGCGGTATGAGCTTCCGCATGGCGCAGGACTTGGGTCTCAACCTTGACATTGGCGGCATCAACACTGAAAAGGAGCAGCTCGATGAAACAGAAATTGATGCACGGAGGATGACGTTTTGGGGGTGCTTCTTGTTTGACAAGTGCTGGTCGAATTACCTCGGTCGACTGCCGCAACTACCTAAGGGCTCATATAATGTGCCCAAATACGAAGTTTTCCCAGATGAGGATGCTGAAGAATGGTCGCCTTACACAGATAATGGGTCCGACGAGACGTCCAAGCAGCCATCCCGGACCCGCGCCATCGGACTTCAACTATCTAAGCTTTGTGAAATCAGCGGCGATCTGCTGGTCTTCTTCTACCACCCGAATCACATTGGTAGATCTAGTGGCAAGGCCATTGAGTTGAAAAAGTTGAGCGAGCTGCACCGCCGCCTTGAGGATTGGCGAAAAGAACTGCCGGCAGAGCTGGAGCCCAAAGAAGGCCAACTGCCAAATGCCATCTTGATGCAGTAAGTATCGATTAAGCACAAGAGAAATGTCGATGCTCACAGTGCTGACTTGATGAATAGCATGTTCTTTCATCTGCAGTATATCCATTTGTTCAGGCCATTCCTGAAATACGCTCCTTCGGCATCACCTCTGCCACCACATGTCTCCCCACGCAGGATTTGTACTGCAAATGCCGGAGCAATCTCTAAACTAATGCGTTTATACAAGAAACTCTACGATCTGAGGCAGATTTGCAATATCGCCGTATACATGCTACACTCTGCCTGTACAATCCACTTGCTCAATCTTCCAGAAAAAACTGCCAAAAGAGACATTATCCACGGCGTCAAAGCTCTCGAAGAGATTGCGGAAGACTGGCTTTGTGGTCGCCGAACTCTCAGCATCATCAGTGTTTTGGCGCGCAAGTGGAACGTGGAAATACCCGAAGAAGCTGCACATGTCTTGCAGCGTACCGACGAAAGATGGGGCACTTTCAACACATCGGACGTGCCCTCTCCACGGCCACATTCGACCACGTCGCCCTCGCCACCTGCGATTGGCTCGAGACTGGCCAGTGGAAAGCTGGATCAGTACAGCACGGGAAACGCTCTTCCTCAGGGCACGACGGGATCAAGCACGCAAATGCTACCCGCAACCACCATGCCTCAAAAAATGCTGAATGGGTTGACAGCCCCGCAAAGAGATTTTGGCAACTTGTCTAACATGCAAGGTGTCAACGATGTGGCTTTGATGGGAATTGGCGTCGACAGCATAGGCGCGACATCATGGGGCCAGCCATCGGTGACACAAGCACTGCCTGGCTATCCGCGCTCATATGCTTCTGCCTCGAACAGGACAGGCTCTAACCGTAGCACACAAGCCAGCACACGGAATGCTACCCCGAGCTCGGCTTACGCTGTTGATGGGCAAGACTGGTACCTCAAGGACGGTGTCAATTGGCAATCAGGATTTGACGCCTGGAATATGGGCAACGCCACCAGCGGCGGGAATAACGCCTTTGCCGATTCTTCGTCCATGTTCATGTTCACTGGCAACCCTGGCAACCCTGTGACTACTGCTGGTAGTCCAAACTCACGCCGATCGCCGAGCACTGCAAACTTTGACTTTGGGAACCTGGACAGTTTGTCAAACTCCATCAATGGATGGGACACGCTTCCAGAACTAGACTAACGAAAGCAAACACGATGACGACAATGTAGTAATGTGTCAATACGGGTGGTTGCATCATCCTGATCTGCCAAAGGACACGGATATTTTTACGAATTAGACGTTTATATGTTTTTCCTTCATGGAATTTTATGCAAGGAGTTTAGCGTACACTGGTGGATTTGAATGCTTTTTGGTATATAAAGGTGTTGTGAGAGCGGCAAGTGTCTGAGACAGGCAGAACCTCTGGACAAACTCAATTCTACACTGTATAACCTATTTACACGAATGCAACGGTTTTCTAATCCGATGATTGGAGGGGAGAGAGCGTTAAAGATGAGACTGGTGTTGCAAAATCTTGACCTTTCAATCGTGATTCACCGTCGTGAGACTCTAATATGTCCAGAGTGATGAACTGCACAACAGAAAGATTGATTTCGTGCCATGGAAACTTTTTCATGCCAGATCACCGAGAAAGACTGAGGCTTTCATCCAAATAGAAACCCATTTTTCTTGTATAAAGAACAGCAGCACCGCACTACCCCATGGCTTTCTACGATATAATTCAAATCCCCAGTACGAGACCGCAGGGAATGATCTCGTCTCTCGAATGTAGGCGACAGCATTAGGTCTCTACCAGTATAAGTCACCCTATACAACAACAATGGAGCTTTTTTCTCTTCTATTCATAACTTTCTGCTTTGCTTGCCAAGCTCTCAGTGCCGCAGTCGGAGACTCAAAGCCTGGCTGGATCACTAAACAGGTTGCCATGTCTGACGGGTCGACTGACACCCTCTATAGTCGTGATACCTTTGTCCATGCGGGAATAGAGGCACGGAAGCATAACGAAACGGCCAAATTCAGGTTCGAAGGGGGCGACGCCCAGCGCTCTTGTGAGTCGGTAATTATGGCTCGCGCGCCATGGATTACTCCCGCCGAGGCCCAGAAATGCGCAGATCTGGGGATTCAGATACTCGGCCAACCTGGATATTGGGAGGGATGGGACTGGCCGGGGGGTCACAACACCTATAGTCTCGCTAGGCTCGCCGACTGTGAGTTTGGCATCGCCAGAGTCGATGGTCTCGATAGTCAAGCCAAGTCAGTATACTTTCATGTTCTTCTACGCCTCAGGCACGTCATTTTCATTTGTGACATTCCGTGATGATTTGAAGTAGGTCGGCTAATCCATCTTGGTTGCGTTTTCCTTGTCGCACAGGTTTGGCAATCTCGACGTAGGATACCTGCTCGGCAACGTTTCAGATGCCCAAAACGGCCTCGTCGTGGACAGCGGCGTCGTCCAAGTTGGCGGCTCGATGCGCTGCCTCGGGGCACCCATGTCGTTTACGGTCGGCAAGACGGCTTGGCCCTTGGCCGATGTGGAGAGTGAGAAGAAGGGAAAGCCGCGAAGGGCCGAGCGATGGAGCAATTGAGGTGATCCGTCCTGCACTAAGGGAGGAAGGAGTCGTGGTCCGTGGAGTTTATGGAGCAGGGAGCCGAAAAGTCCAGAACAATCAGACTGACAAAATGTTGATGAGGCGTCACTGGGCCGTAACAACCAACAAGGCAGGCATCAAGCAAGGAGGAAATCATGATATTGAAAAGACTCAATTCGACGATGCAAAACCTCCAAACAACAAAAGACCAAGAGTGCATATGCAGCTGCCCCGTGACACATGCCACATGCCAATGACGGATTTTAGCATTTCACCCTGCATTCTCTTCACAGCACTGCCCAATATCCATTTTTTATTCCGTACACTACACCGACGGCCCGTAGCAGGACCTTGTGCCCAGCGGGCAGCGATACGAGAAGATGGGAAAATCTCCAACATGTAGCCGGCGTCGGCTCCGAACAGTGGACCGTTGCCCCCACATTGCCGAAGAAAAACTAAAAATTTATATTCTTCCCAAGACTTAAGTCAGGTACGGCCAGGCGGCTTGCTTTGGGTATAACCGCTTAATTCCGAAAATGGAAAGGGAAAATGGCGGAGACAACGGGCGGTTGGGCGGCGCCATTACTCAACAACGTCATTTTCTGCAATCGCCGCTCTCGTGATTGGACCTTTTTGGGCACCGGAAAACCCATCCTCTCTATCTCAACCAGGGGGTTTCTAAGTTTTTCTGCCCGTGCAAGGCTCACTACTACTCACTACTCATTACTAGAATGCCTACATTCGGATGTCGGTGCCGGAGACGCCCAACATGACCGTACACTACGTAACCTATGGCGGTCCGTGTGGCCATGTCACACACCCTTTCCATTGCAGTCCCGGCGTTATGCACGCTTCTTTTCTCTTCCTCTTCCCACACTGACCCATATATGTAGTACTAGTGGATAATGACCCCGAAGGCAAAAGAAAAAAAAAATAGAGAGTAAAAAGTTTCAAACGTCCGCCGCCTGCTGCCTCCCATGATCCCTCGGCTTCGGTGCTCAGCCGTCGCCAGTGTCTCCATGCAAGCGTCCATGTTTGCTTGTTTCTTGCAAATTCTCCTTTGCTAATACTACTAAAACTCGCGGCCGTGGGGCAGTGCAACTATTACTAACGGATTAAAAAATAAAACATCGGATTTTATTTTCCCTACCTGCCAGCTCTTGTTTATTTTCTTCTGTTTGGTAAAGAGGGACCCCTTCGTCCACCTAAAATATTTCGACGGGACTCAAGAGTTGGTCGTGTATTTATCCTTTGATAATTCTGTTTCTTTTTTAACCGTTTGGCCCAAATCCCATCTTGAGTTCAGATCCACCTCCCACACCGACTCCTGATACCCATTTCGAAAGGGGCTCTGCGACTATTTTTTTTTTTTTTTTAAAGCCGGCAAAGTCACCTTTTTTCTTTTTTGGTTGTTTTCGATAGTGAATCCAGACTCAAATTGCCAAGAGCTCCCGTCTGCACAGTGGGGTATCAGGGTAAATAGAACTACCCGTACCTAGGTAGATACCATGAAGAACCAAGATCCCAGCCAAGTGTCGTCTCCTACGACAGAAAAGGTTCAACATGACATTACTTCATCGTCGGCCCCTGTGGAGAGTCATGTCAGAAGCTCAGAGGAGGTAGAGAAGCCACAGGGCAACTACAGCAGTCACTCGGATGACGACGACAACGATGATGATGACTCGAGCGACTCGTCGTCTGGCCACCACGGCTCGAGGCGAAGTTCCGTCGCCACTGCGAGAATGCGGACGCTATCACGGACCGCCTCGGACATTCACGACGGCGTGGAGAATCGGCGAGACTTGGAGATTGGCCAGCCCATGGAGCACAAGGTCACCACTACGGCCCCAGACCCAAACGACCCGGACCTGGTTACCTGGACCGGACCGGACGATCCCGAGAACCCCAAGAATTGGGCCTTTGGCAGAAAGTGGCTGACCGTATTTGTCGTCTCCACCTTTACCCTCATATCGCCGCTCTCATCGTCCATGGTCTCGCCGGCCTTGACCACCATTGGTGAAGAGTTTAATGTACCCGCTGGAACGGAACAGGCCATCATTCTGTCTATATTTGTGTTGGCTTATGCCATTGGTCCCTTGGCGTAAGTCTTTACCGTTGTTGTCAATAATTTCCATGGCTTGTTGACTAACTTGTTGATGCAGATGGGGACCATTGTCTGAAATTTACGGCAGAATGCTCGTCTTGCAAACCACGAATGTGCTATATCTATTCTTCAACCTCGGCTGCGGTCTCGCCAAGACCAAGGGTCAGCTCATCGCCTTCCGATTTCTGTCCGGCCTGGGTGGTTCTGCCCCTTTGGCAATTGGTGGCGGTGTTCTAGGAGATCTGTTCAATGCAGAAGAGAGAGGCAAAGCCATATCGCTCTACTCTCTCTGCCCTTTGCTTGGACCAGCCATTGGTCCTATCAGTAAGTTTTCTGTACAATTAAGATGCAACTCACAATAGCTAACCGCTTATATCATAGTCGGTGCGTTTGTCACCCAAAACACAACGTGGAGGTGGACCTTTTATGCGACTACAATCGCAGATGCTGCCATTCAGATCTCCGGCATCATCTTCTTGCGGGAAACCTATGTGCCCGTCTTGCTTGCTTGGAAGAGAAAGAAGCTCGTCAAGGAGACTGGCAACGAGAATCTCCACACGCCCTTTGACCATCCCGACAGGACCTTGGCCAAGACATTGCGCGTGGCTTTTGTGCGGCCCTTCCGCCTCTTGAGCACGCAAGTCATCCTTCAGATCCTTGCACTGTACATGATGTTCCTCTACGGGCTCATGTATATTGTACTGGTCTCATTTCCCAGCCTCTGGGCGACACCGGAACCGGAGGGTTACGGCGAGAGCCTCGGCATCAGTGGTCTCAATTACATCTCACTGGGCGTTGGGTTTTTCTTGGGAGCTCAGGTGTGCGCACCGCTCCAGGATCGCGTCTACGCCGGCCTCAAGGCCCGCAATGGCGGCCCCGGCCGGCCAGAGTACCGAGTCCCCATGATGGTACCTGGTGCGGTCCTTGTACCAGTCGGCCTGTTCATTTACGGATGGACTGCTGAATACAAGACTCATTGGATTGGGCCCAACATCGGTGCTGCCCTCTTTGCTGCCGGTACAATCATTGGTTTCCAGTGCGTGCAGACGTACCTTGTCGACACATACACTCGCTACGCCGCGAGCGCCGTCGGTGCGGCCACGGTCCTGCGATCCCTCGCTGGCTTTGGCTTTCCACTCTTCGCTTCGAGTCTATATGATCGGTTGGGTCTTGGATGGGGTAACTCGCTGCTAGCATTCCTGGCCATTGCCATTGGCTGGCCGAGTCCCATTTTGCTTTGGTTTTACGGAGAGAAGTTGAGAAAGAGAAGTCCATTTGCAGCTGGACAATGAACGACTACGTAGCTTTGTCATTAAAAGATGCCTGTCATGGGACGGCGACGGAGGGGATGCACGAGAATGTATGTTGGATTATAGTTACATTATTAGTAATATTTGGTGCAGGCGTCCCCCGTCGGCCAAGACCTAATGCTCCGGCGGTCCAGCGGACATGTAAGAATCTATATTGAACTAGCAAAAGTCTCTGTCGACAAACTTGGAATTCTATTTAAAAATCGACTTATTTGTATCTGTAAATCAAAATATAGGACATTGGCTTATCGCTGGCTTGAATTACTTTTGTTTTCTTTGCATTTCTACGAAAGAAAGCCCATGGTTATGACTCTTCATGTCCATGTAAGCAGCATGTAAACGACCTTTTGGTATTTGGTAGAAGAATGGCGAATATGTAGGCCAAGACAAGTCGCCCCGCAAAACTGCTTTTTAAGCAATATGCACTGGAAAGCATTGGTACTGGGCTGCTATTGATTGCTCAGCAAAGTCTGTCGCTAGTGCGACTCGCAAAGGGCGCGCACTCTAAAGAGTCAATGACGAGAGTGATGACAACTCATGTATCAAGTCTCACGATGGAAAACCCACGAACAATTGCATTTCTCGCGCGGCTCATTACAAAATCCCGAGTCCTTCTTGATTTGATGGGGCATTGTGCATGATCATTAATCTGTGGGGAGCATTCTCTGTGCCTTACCCAATGTAGGTAACAATCTACTACCCCCGCGACACCGGACGTCTAGCATGGCAGGGTCAAAGTAGCTCCGCCACAGCTCCAGTGATGTCTACCTACCTAGTCTCTACAGAGTATCTATCCCTTGAGTTTACCGAATATCTTTTGTGAGTGATGCATTCATTGGCCACCAGCTTGAAATGTTGTGGTCGCGTTGGTAGACTGCTTATTTGCACAATAAATTGAAGAAAACCCCGCGAGGCGATTGCTTTAAATCACAAAATTGCACTCGTTCGGCAACAACAGGGGGAAATCATAGAATCTCTAGGCTTGTTTGTTGCCTTCTGCTCACTTTCGCCCTTGAATAACGACATGCCAAGCCTGCGTCTCAATGTATAGATGCCTACACTTTGCGCTAGTGCTGAGGAAAGGACAGCCTATACCTATTTTAGGTCTGCCCCAAGTATTATTTTGGCAGCATAACGGGAGTGCATTTGTCAGGACCGCCTATACACGTATGACAAATGAATACCTCACTCAACCATGCAAGATATGAGTATACTTGAAGTTTTAACATAACGAGTGACTGTGCCACACCGTTGGTGAGTAAGTGGGGGTGTGGAGGGTTATAAAGAGAGCAGCACATCTCAACAAAATGCATGATCTGACTCCTCGTCATCACATACAACAATAACAACGCAACTCTTCGCGAATATACCCTCTAATTCCAGCCTTTTACCTTGAGAAATAATTTGACATTGAATACCAGAATAAAAATACAACACAAACAACAAAATGGCGTCATCTCAAGAAATCATTCTCGTCACTGGCGTCACCCGCGGCATCGGCGCCCAAGTCCTCGCGCAGCTCCTGGCCCGCTCAAACACCAAAGTCATTGCCGCGGTTCGGGATCTCGACGCAGCGGCGGCCAAGAAACTGATTGAGCAGAGCCAGACGACGCACAAGGAAAACCTCGTCGTGGTCAAGATTGACAGCGAGAGCGACACGGACGCCGCCGACGCCGCGCAGGCGCTGCAGCAGCAGCACGGCATCGACCACGTCGACGTCGTGATTGCCAACGCGGGCCTCGCGACCGACTGGCTGCCGGTCAAGCAGGTCACGGCCGAGCATATCATGCGCTCGTCGCGCGTCAATTTCGCGGCGCCGATTCTCCTGTTTCAGGCCTTTGAGCCGCTCTTGGTCAAGAGCGCCAACCCGCGCATCTTGTTTATCAGTACGGGAGCGGCTTCATTCGGTTTGGCTCATATTATCCAACTCTACAATACTACTTGTAAGTATAGGAACCCCATCTCTGTGTATACATCTTGTCTTGGGCATCTGGCAGGCCGAGTGATTCACAATGAGGTTGGTCGAGCGTGATTGAACCTAATATTGAAGAACATCTCGACTCCTTCTGACCAGAGACTTTTTATAAACCCATCTGTTTCAAAATAAAAACAGCACGCTAACACATTATCTCCCAACAATTTAGACGGCAGCAGCAAGGCGGCGCTTAACTACACGGTCGTCCGCATCGCCAAGGAGCACCCTGAAATCACGGCCGTCTCCCTGCACCCAGGCACCGTCGTCTCGGACATGTCGACCGCGGCCCACGACTCCATCGGCATCAAGGTGACCGACCGGCTCGCCAAGGGCGAAGCCATCACCGCCGAAGAGAGTGCCCGGGGCATCATCAAGATCGCGGATGAGGCCAAGAGGGATACGCATTCGGGAAAGTTCTTGGACGCTGTTTCGGGCTCGGAACTGCCCTGGTAAATGGAAATAGATAGATGCCTGGTTATTATGGCAAACTTGAGCAGTAATGAATGAATGATCTCATCGCTCTATCCTTGGTGAATATTGAAATGCCCGTTTGACCATGATTGTTTGTATTCAGAGTATTTCAAATCATTGTCTGCCATGGTGCATAAATCAACATGTCCTTACATCATTCGGTCATCCAAGCCAGACAGTTCATGTCGCCTCTATTCAGACGCGTCTTCTGAATCCCGAAACGTGCTTTGACGTATCACCCAACTGCTTCACGACATGCTGCGTCTGGGTGCCTTTTGGCCAAAGCGCCGGGCCGGGCTCTGTATAATTCGTAATTTTTGTCCAAAAGTCAGGAATTAACACGCCCGGCGTAGTATTATTATACAAGCCCGGAATCTTGACCGTCGGCTCCAGTCGCCCAGTGCCATTCCCCGTGACTCGGATCTGGGCACAGCCGACATAAAACTGCGCACTTTGATTGCATCATATCTTGGTCAGTATGATTTGAAAAAGACACATGCAAGAGTAAGGTAGGCGCGCTAAAACACAAATATACTTACCAGTCCAACTTGTGCGCTGCATGCAGAGCCAACCCCTCGGCTCGGAGCAGGTATTCCCCAGGCGGCGTCTGGTCACTCAGCGGGAAGCGAAACGAGTGCGCGCGCCGCATGGCCCAGACGAGGCCCTCGCCGCCACTATTCCAGCTCGCATTCGCCAGCGTGGTCGCGGCATAAATCTTGACCCAGTCGCCGGCGCCGTCATAGTCGGCGGCCGCGGTGCCGCCGGGCGCCCGCGACAGGTACACCTGCTGGATGCCCGGGTGGCCAAAGGTGGACTCGACGCCGAAGCCGAGCTCGTCGCCCGCGCGCACCGCCAGGGTCTCCGTGTCGAGGGGCCCGCCCAGCGCCGCGCCGGCGTTGCAGCGCATGGTCGTGGCGTTGACCATCTGCAGCGGCGTGTTGGAGTTGTTGGTCCGTCGGACGTATTGGTACGGCGCGCCGGCGACCTCGCCATTGACGATTAGGGTGTTGTAGTTCCAGTGACAAAGGACGCTGGTGGTCCAGGCCACAAGCGTGACAAAAATCGAAATGTACATTGTGGTTTTTCTTCTTGGATTGGAAGAAGCGTGTATTGTCTAATCACGCACAATGTGATAATGAGAGAAGTGATTCAATATCTGACCGCGGACTCAAGGCATTCATGATGTCCAGAGGCAGTACTATATACCATGATATAGCGAGCCCGCCAAATGATGGAAAAAAGAAAACAGTGTGTAGCTTGTTCGGGGTGGAGTACCCTGTATTTAGCCTGTTGTTGTATAATATGCCAATGAAGCCCTCGGATATAGCACTGTGGCAATGTGTTTATGAATTTCCTGTAGATCTTTTATAATTAGCATCATCAGTGCAAAGATAGCCGAGCGAACCAGAGGCAATGATTGACCTGCAGAATGACTTGGGCTATCCAAGGTTTCCACTGACCATCTCCGTTGTCTCTACCATTGTCTGTATCATCTATCTGATTTATTGGGCGGTAGTGGACACGTCAAATACAATTCACCCGTGTCGCCCATTGTCATACGCTCAAGGCACAATGCCAGCAGCATAATGGCTTCAGTATGTGATTACGGGAATTTCATTTGAAGTTTCATCCATTATGTCCTAGAAATACTCGAAGCGACGCACTTGAATGTCATTTTGGTAGTACATTGCATCTGAATTTGTGCTCTTGTGAATACCCTAAAATCAAAATGTGTTTATTCATGGCCGTTGTGTACGGCCAGAAACCAATAACCGAAACGCCATGAGCCGCTGAATGCCTTTGTTCCATAGCCCTATAATTTTTTCAGCTACCGCCATGCGGAGTTGATCTATTTGATCACATTATAATGCTGATCAAGCTTGTGTTCAATGAAACAGGAAGGCCACGCCCCACCTGTTCCACTGTTGAGGGGATTCCCATAGTGCCAATAAGTAATGACCTTCTCGTAACCTTGAAGCCGTCTACGAGCTCTCAGCAGGAGCAGGCTCCTTGGTATCCACCTTCTTAGCTGGAGGAGCTTCGGCACCGTCATCCTGACGAGGACGCTTCTCGCCTGCGCTGGCATCTGCAGGCTTGTCCTCGCTAGTGTGGATCTTGGGCCTGCCGTCGCCAGTTGGGGCCTTGGGCTTGTCCTCCTGATCCCGGCGCGAACCACCGTGGTCTCTGCCACGGCCCCGGTTACCCCGTCCACGACCCCGGCCTCCGCGCTGGTCACGATGGCCGTTTCTCTGGTCGCGGTCACGGCGGTCCTTCCAGTTGTCCGAGCCGCCCCGACCGCCCTTGAAGTTACCACGACCGCGGTGCCTAGAGTCTGAGAGCTCACGCTTACCGTCTCTAATTTCTTCGTTCTTTTGCTTCACATACTCCAGCTTTGGCATAATCAGCAGGTCGTGTTCCTTCCACTTGGGCTTGGGATCAAGAGCCAGGAACTTGTCGGCGGTCTCTTGGTCAGCAAATTCGACAAAGACGGAGCCCTTGAAGCCCTGGTCGTCTCCTCGTCGGAGACGAACAGAGTTGGTCTGGCCGTACTGAGCAAAGAATGCCTCAATATCGAACTGAGTGGACTGGGTCTCCTCGCCAAAGCCCTTGACGTATACGCTGCGCTCATCAATCTTGGCGCGTCTGGTGGGATCGAAAGCCTTCTTTCGTCGAATGGTCTCTTCACCCTCTGCGCCCTCAATCTCGAGCTCCTTGCTGTCCTTCAGAGCGGCGATAACGGCGGAGTAGGGCTGGAATCTGCGCATACGCTTGAAAGAGGTGATGGTTTTGAGTGGGACGGGCTTGTTCTCAGCAAGGCCAGTGAGGCCGCTAAGGAACTTGTCGGTGGGGAGGTTGCTATCACTGAAGTAGAATTGGACCTGTCGCCGCAATCAGTCCTGTTCAATTCCTTTTTGCGCATGAAATAAGGCTTACCTGGCGACGAATCAAGTCGGGGTCAGATGTCTCGGGCAGGTCAGAGACATCAAACTTGCTGTGGCTCTTGCCCTTCTCGACCTTTTCGGGACGCTTGACCTTGAGCATGTTCAAGGGAGGGTTCTTGATGGCACCATCTGTCTTCTCAGTCTTGGCGTCCTCCTTGACCTCTGTAGGCTGAGTCTCGGCAGGCTTCTCTTCGGTGGCAGGGGCCTCAGTGGCCTCGACAGTGACGTCGGCGCTGTCAGCCTTGACCTCGGTATCCGCCATTGGGACGTCGACGGCCTCGGGCTTGTTCTCCTGATCGCTCATTCTGAATATGCTTGTGTGCGATTTGGATTATCTAGTTTTAGATTCCTGTTAGAAATCGTGCTTTGGGGCAAAACTGAGTGTTAAGAAGAGCTAGGAAGAGCTGGATGCGACGAAACGGTTCATGGGTCAAGGATTGCAGCTGAGCGTGTTTACAGTGAATTTCTGTGCCTAAAATACACTCGAGTTTCCCAAGATGAAAGTGAATGGTGCGGAGGCTCCGTCTCGTGGTGCGCGCCTTGGGATGGGTGGAATGGAAATGGTGACGCCGCTACGCGCAACGTCGAAAGAGAGGAAGAAAAAGAGGATGGCGGGGCGCAGTCACTCGGCCAGTGACTCGACGGGGGCCTAGGAGAAGTTTGCGGACAGAATTGACTCACCAATTGAATGCAATAAACTCTTCCAGGGGCCTCGGAGCGTATTGTCTTTGGACTTTTAATGTCTTGTACTGAATTTGGTTCGAGTAGAAAAGTTGCAGCTCACAACAATGAGCTCCTAGACAGTGAAGAGGGAAAAAAAAAAGTTGATACTGGAGCTGCAGTCAGTTAGTAGCTGCGGGACCCTTTGATCTAACGTAGACCCACTGATTAATCTGCCTTTCTCCAAGTGTGCGCACCAATCCAATTGCCTGTTTGCCAGCTCCAGCTTGCAAAATCTCCCCCGCTAACAACCGTCCAAGGTACGCGGTGGTGCGGCCAAACATCTTTTCCATATCTTATCAGCTTATCGATTACGCCCATATGAAGAGGATCCCGTTTGCTCAACCTGGACCTGGCCAAATCCACTGTGCATTTTATCAACAGAGACCATCCTAGTTATACCCACCACCAGGATTCCCATGGCAACCTGAAGTGAGGGTATCGTGGCCCATGGTTGGGATTTCCTCACCATATCCTAACAATTCTCGATTCGAATCAGGACTGTTTTCATCTTTTACGTTTCCATCTCTCAAATTAATAAATGGTCAACATGAAGCGATCAAATACGCAAATGGTTATTACATTTCGCGCAAGTAGTTCAGGTCAGATTGTGTGATTCTTGTTCTTATTCATCATGACTAGCTATATCGTCAAAACAAGTGATGGCGACAAAGTTTTACATTTGTCGCTCAAGCGTCCACCTGGATGCCGCTGGACTTTTCCCGAATAACATCGGAAAGAATCTGGTTCTTCTTCTCAACATCAGCAGCACCACCTCGGTCGTTGAAGACTTCGTCCATCTGCTCCAACTTCTTGTGTGCCGTTTCCGGAACACAGAAGTATGCCCACACGAGTGACAACAGGCTAAAAACAGCAAAGAATACATAAGCGCCGAAGCCAGTGTTTTGGACCAGAGGAGGCGTGATGAGACCAATGATGAAGTTGTTCAGCCAGTTGGAGCCACTGCTGATGGAGACTCCCTTGGCACGAAGCGACGATGGGAAGATCTCGGCAGGCATAGCCCAGGGTACCGGACCCCAGGTACAACCGTATCCTAGCATGAAGACCATGAGGAAGGCCACACTGGTCCAGCCTTCGGCAGAATGGCCGGGCCAGTCGTAGGAGAACTTGCCGACCAGGATGGCAATGATGGCGTGAGAAAGCGTCATGACGATGCTGCCGACGAACAGGAGCCTTCGGCGACCGTAGGTATCGAGCGTCCACAAACTGCTGATGCAACCAACAAGCTGGACCATGTTCAAGACTCCCGACATGATGAGCTGCATATCGTAGTCGAGACCCATTGTGGCAAAAAGCGTTGGCGAGTAGTAAATCAAGGCATTGATACCGACAAACTGCTGGAAGAACCTTGAAGAACGAGACATGTTAGCTTCTTGTTTCATTGTGCGAGATTCTAGAGGAAAGGAACGAGAAAATACTCACATCAATCCGGCTCCGACTTGAGTTCGCTTCCAGCAACCAGACTTGAAGCAGTCCGTCCAGGTAACCATTTCGAGCTTCATCTTGTCGCCAAATGAGGTGCTGCTCACAAGCTGGGGGTGTCTCTCTTCGAGCACCTTCTGCTGGAACTTGGATTCGGCGATAACCTCCATCCACTCCTGTCGCACGCGGTTGTCGGTCGTGGGCAACTGTCGAAGCTTGGCGAGGTTGACGAGTGCCTCCTCTTCGCGGCCTTTGGTTGCCAGCCAACGCGGCGAGAAGGGCAGCAGGGTGGCACCAATGCCAAGGAAGAGGGCGGGCACGATCTGGAGGAGAAAAGGCAGTTGCCAGGACCAGTTACCACTGATCTCCTTGGTGCCGTAGGTGATCCAGAAGGCGACAACTACACCCGTCACGATGGAGATTTGCTCGAAAACCAGAAGAGTACCACGAATTTGTGGCGCGGCAATCTCGCCAATGTACAAGGGGACGACACCACTCAACCTGGAAGAGAATCAGCAACGTGTTTCTTTCCAAACTTCAGCAATCAAGGGGATACAAACATTCCGATTCCAATACCACCAATAAGACGCGCAACGACAAGCATGGCGTAGGATACAGCGCCCACTTGCAAAGCCGAGCCGACAATGAAGATGGCCACGGCAATCATGATGCAGTACTTTCGGGAAAAGGCATCGGCAGCCCAGCACTGGTTAATGGCACCCAAGAAAGCACCTAGTGTAATCATGGCGGTCATGAGGCCCTTGTAGAATCCAGAGCCTGGAGCCGTGTCGCTAACTTCGGGGAATCGCTCGAGGAAGTGGTCCATGACCAAGGTGACTGATATCACACCCTGACTGTACAGATGTGTCAGTTACCGCTGTCGTATTGGTACACTTTGCTGTCATCAACTTACTCATATCCAAACAAAAGACCTCCAATGGTAGCAAAGGCTGCGCACATGGCAACATAGGAAGATGCAAAGACGCCACGAATACCGGGTGGACCATAGGACAACTCGTCCAAATTCAAGGTGAAGTTGCCTTCCTCATGCTCCGCAGAGCTGGCATTGAAGCCATCCTTGGCGAGGCTATCTTCCTTTGACATGATGAATGAAAGAACACCCAGAGTGTGGTATACTCTTTATCGAGGTAGTAGACGGTAACCCTTGTTCGGCCGATGGAAGGGCTTTCGAGATTGGTTGAGGGGTGAAGCTGGGCTGAAGAGTAAAGTGAAAGCACTGGGCGGATCAACGCGCTCTTATATACTTATCCGGACTACATTATGCTATATATACCTTCTTTTCTTAGTTATCCTAGTCCAATGGCCCAAGCCCAGCTAGATGCAGCAGAAAACCAGAGCATTGGGATCCGTTTAGAGCACGCACGCACAATTGAACCTGGCCAATCCCATTAGAGACATAGTGTCGTGAGACGACCCCATGGTGGGGGAGCGAAGTGTCGAGAATGGACTGCGGAGAATCCTGGGCGCCCTGGGGAAGCTTCCCCACAATAGGGAGAAAACAGGGCAAAATCGTCGATGCCGCCTCTTCTTTCGGCGTTTCGCGACGTCATGTTGCTGGTTAGCATCGTTTCGTAGCGCGTCCGTAGCTGATAACGTGTGTCTTGGCCCAGGGCTGTATGCGAGTCTTGCGCCGGCATTTGGGCCCAGTGGAGAAAAAGCACAGAGGTGTCGAGTCGCGGCTCAGTCAGGTCACGAGAGCCATTTTTTGGTGTTTCTTCCAGGGACTTCTATGCAACAAGAAGCAAGGTAACATGGGCCGTGTTATTATCGTCTGGCTACCCGGTTGGCTCCGAGGCTTGTCCGTCTGCAATTGCTTATTCTTGTTACTGTTTCACTGGATACATTGATGTTTATTTCATGAATACCTTCTCCGAAATATAAAAATGCAATCATTTACCCCAGAGCCATCCAGGACACACACCATGGAATAGTATGGGGAAATGGGGGTCAAAAGTTGGGGGGCTCTCTGGCGTGCGGAGAAGCCATTTAGGGTCCGTTGATTTTGTCTCGATTAGGGACTGACAGTGAGCTATTATCTCTGCCTTGATTGGCTGACGTAAAATGCTTTAGGAAGTCTAGGAATATCAACCACTTTTTGGGGAAGAACAGGCAATGCCGCTTTAAGCTGGAGGTTTATGCTGAAATGAGATTTTAAGCATAATCCAGCGATTGATCATGAATATACGATAACTCAGCAATCGTGTGTGTCTTATTCCGTGTATTTACATGGCAAATAGGAATTGACCTAAGTAAACAGAGGCAGCAAGCCCTTCCTGGATAGATCAGAAGAAGCCAATTGAAGCCGAGACCAACACTGACTCGCCATCATCACCATCAAACAGCCAAAGCGCCAAACTTGACTTGGGAAGTGTTCCTTCACAAGCCCCCGACTCTTCTTCCGCCCTCGACTTTAGCTCTCAATGCATCTTAGCAGCTTTCATGCGTTTCCTTTGTAGAGACTCTATATCAGGCTTCTTGAGAGCCACTATCAGAAACTTGACACCATACCTTCACAAATATCTTCTTTGACGTCTTGGAATGCTTCCACCAAGGTTCACCAGCCACGGGCGGCATCATTTATTTGGAGAGTATAAGGATAAATTTGTCTCAATTTTGCGGTTGCTCGTTCAAGTTCTTGCTCTGCATTTTCTTTTATTTCTCCTTGTCTTGCCTGATGTTCCGAGACAACCATCTGCTCAGGAAAAGTAATCAAAAACTCCTCCATAAACTGGAACTAAGTGAAACTGCAACGCAATTTTAGTCCAAAGGTAGCATCATTGCACCATAGTCCCTGTCATTACGTAAGACTGTAGGAATATACAAGTCCAAAGTCTGTCTAGGGACTGACTGAGACCAGTTGAGAATATGACAAAGATTCAAGCGTATCCTCGCTATAATTTCTCAAACCTTGCGTCAAATGACTATGCCCCGAGGAGCCATGGGATTTCCAGAAAGCCGATGCACATTGGTTGGGCAACTCACTGGCCGTCTTCCCCCTAACGCTAAGCTGTTTTGTTTTCTTGCATGCATCTGCATCTGCAGGGCCATCTGATAATTTTAAGCGATCCGTGGTGCTGCTCGGCGGTGAGTCTGTAGATTGAATACAGCCCTTTATTGATTTTGAAGAATTGGGTCAACCAGGGCATGTCGCCAAATTGTGCACAGCATCGTTTGTCCGCTGATATTGGCCTGTTCTGAATAGTCCTCAGGCATTTAGTGCGTCATTCTGTCAACTGCTGACCTACGTTAGTAATCTCTCAGTTAGGCCTAGAAAGCTAAAACTCGCGAATACTATACGACTATACAACTCTGGATCGAGAAGAGCCGCCTCATTACATAAAAGTTCATGAATTATAATAATAATGGTGCAGCTCAGTAAAGCGGCAAACGGTACCAGAGCTGAGGTGTCCAAAACAAGAAAAGGTGCCGTGGAGCCCAGAGATATACTGGCCCTACGTTCTAGGTTAGCCAGGTACACTATAATGGAACCCCCTGCCGGGCAGCCGTGTAGGCCTGAATCGGCGTATTTCTCCAATTCCGTAAAACAGGTCTTTATCCCCGATCCGCCTCTTGGGGATTTTGACTTCACCTACAACGTGCCCATCTCCAGTCTTGCCGACGACGACATGCCTTGATACCGGCCAAGCCTACACGCGAGAAATCCCGAGTCTTTCCTATCACCCGCGACTTTGAAGCCGGCGCTTTCGAATTGGTTCATCCAAGACGACGCATGTCTCGTTCACAGCTCCAAGGCACAGAATTATTTCTGGCCAGGCGAGGCTCGGCCTGGCGGCGCTTCACCAGAAGGTTCGGCCCTACCTCCCCTCGCTCATTCATATGACGATGGGGACTGGGGTGGATCAGATATTGCCATGCCAGGTAATCAACTTGTCATTTTAGTCTACACATTCACATTGCCCCATGTTTCAACACAACATGGCGGTTCCCTACATACGCATTTGCTTTTCGATAGATAGCTGATACTGACCAATATCTTTGCCCAGCTATGCCGCGAAAAGCACCTGCGTTGTGAGCAGCTAGAGGGTCACGTTTCAGGTCAAGAACCGGAGCCTCCTTGCACCCGATGTGCATCATTGGGCAAGAATTGCGTCCGACTCAAGGAGCTACGCTTCAAATTTCACTCGTAGGTTGAGTGACAAGCATGGACCTCACTGATGGATTGAGAAAAATAAATGAACCTTGCCACTGATACAAAACGTCATGTCACTAGTTATCCGGAAGTTGAGCAAAAGTGGACACAGATTCCAACCAGGTGTGAGTCTGCTCTAGGATCATCGTCACGCACATACATGCCCAATGCTCATCATTAACATTAGTATTCTTTGTGGATGAGACTCAAGAGGTCAGGGCCTTCTACACTCTACAAAATGGCGAGACTCATTACCCTTTCACGGCTGCCCAAAATGTAGAAGAACGGCCAGAAGTGGCTGCTTCTTCACCCCAAAATCTTCAACAAGCAGTACCAGTTGCCCCTTACCTACTTGACGTGATCTCGCCGCCTGAGACGACGACTTTAAGCCCAGCACAATCCGCTACTGGGAGCCGCGTTTACTCTACCCTCCCGCCGGGCTCTGCACTTGGCTTATCAAGCCATGACGACCTTAATCATGCTATCCTCCCATTCCGTAATGCGACGGAGGTGCGGCTCATGAAGTATTACTTGGAGCACATGTGTCACTGGGTAGGTCATTAGAATTGACTCCAGTAAAGACATGGGCTTTACATTTAGTAGCTAAACATTCTCGTCTTCTGTAGTTCGACCTTTGCGACAATCAAAGACACTTTGCCGTCGAGGTTCCGCGGCGTGCGATTGCGTGCCCAACACTGCTCAACGCCATTTTCGCCTTGTCTTCCCGACACCTGAGCATGGGCGAGCGTTTCGACCCATACGCTGCCGATCGGTACCAACAGGAATGTCTCAACCAACTTTCAGCGATAATATTGGACTCTTCCACCTTGTCTAATGATGACTTGCTTGCTGCAACTATTCTGCTAAGGACGCTGGAAGAGATGGATGGTAGGTTCAAGTACCGATAGTCACTGTTGGCTGTAACTAACAAAGGCCTCCCGTATAGTTCCACTCATTGGCGCAGACCACGAATTACACCTTCACGGCATCCAGCTCTTCATGAGCTTCATGCCCTCTGAATCGCCACAAGCCGTCGGCTCCCCAGCCCAACCGCCAGCCGAAACCTCCAGCCTGCGGCAAGCCTGTTTCTGGACCGGACTGCGCCAGGAAATCGTCATGGCCTTTGTCAACCAGCGGCCGGTCAAGGTGCGGCTCGACCACCCCTTCATTGACCGGTCCCTTGCCGCGCCGGCCGCCGACGACGTCTGGGCTAACCGGATCATCCTCCACTGCGCCGACGTACTGCGCTACTGCTTCGGGGGCAGCGCGACGGGTACTAATGCCGCCGACGAGTGGCTTCGCCTCAAGGCCCACGATGATGCGTGGCTCCGCGCGCGGCCGTCCAGCTGGCTGCCTGTGGCATACTCGGAACCAGAGCGGGAAAAGGGCGAAGTGTTCCCTACCATTCTATACCTAAGTGGTCCAATCGGTGAGTCTTGTAGCAAGGGCGAAATGTGCATCACCCATGCAAAGAGGATGGCCGGTGAAAAGTCAAAAGCTGACATACCTGGAACAGTCATTGGAAATGCACACGCCACCTTTGCCAGGGCGCTGCTAAAGTGCTATGACCCAACCATTCCCAAAATAGGACCAGGACAAAAGTTGGCGCAACAGAAACTGGATGTAAGTGCTGGGACCCTTCGAAACCAGCCAGACATTCCTCCCGACTTCGTCAAGCTGGGCTAACTCTTCACACTCGTGAAAAAGACCGAAATACGCACCCAGATCCGCGAGCTATGCGCGACAGCGCTGTCGAATCGTGCTACAGTGCCAGCCATGTTCACGGCAAGCATGGGGGTAACCATGTGCGGCGATCGGTTTACTGATGATCGCGAGCGAGGAGGGCTGCTGGACCTTCTTATCAAAACAGAAATCCAGCACTTTTGGCCGACGGGCGGCGCGCAGGACCATTTGAAGAAAGCCTGGGGTTGGGCCGTTGAATAAGATATCCCGCGCTGGGTCAATGGGAAAGTAAAAATGGAGAAGGGTCACCAAGGCAAATGAAAAGAGCATGAATCCTAACCAAGTATATTCTCATAAACACATTCGCAATGTTATCCCGAACGCCACAATCTGATCGATCGCGGCTGTAATACTGGAAGCCTTCAGAATCTCGAACTGGGTGATCCTTGACAGTCTTTGTTGGTTGGGTATTCCGTGAACATCTCTGGTTAAAAGCAATGAAGACCTCCGGCTCTCTTGGACTCACGCATACGATGAACAATAATGATTGACCAAGGCCCATAGTCTCTCTTGCAGTCTTCGATGTTGGTCCTTCACACGTCAGCCCTTCACTATCTGCCGGTTCTGCTCTCGGCTGTTCCGTGGGCTTGACAATACTACATTTGAAGTTGAAGGGCCAACAAGGCCAGTTTGGGATGCTGCGCCAAGTATAGCAGCATTCTTGATTGATCCGCACTTGAAGAGCTGCAAGCTACGACGGTCGAGTTCGTTGCGGCTGGTAGAGGCGTTTCCTTAGCAATACCGGAATTTCTCCTAGTTGAAACTAAAGGTTTCTCTTGAGGCTCAGATCCAAGATTGGAAAGAGGCTTTCTACCTACTCCTTGAGCTTTTTCATTTTTCGCTGGCGCTGTTCCCTTTTCAAGCTTTCTAGTTCGGGGAGAATAAGTCTCCGGATGGCATCCTCGACTGACTCAAGCAATTTAGGGTTCTTGAAGATGTCTCCTGATGGTGAGATCGGGTCGTCCAACTTGGGGTCTGGAGCTATGGGTTCTCTTGCTGCAGCGTATAAGTGCAAACTTTTGGTATCCTTGGAATCGATGATATCCAGCTCGCTGCGACTGGGCACTAACGGGTCTTGGTGCGCCCGCTTCGACCCCGAAGACTTTCGAGCCGGCCTCGACGTTTCGAATATCTGATAATGGTCGTTTTCAGAATGGTGTGAAATACTATTCTTTTCCGTTGCTGCAGCGTATAAGTGCGACCTTTCGGTATCCTTGGAATCGATGATATCCAGCTCGCTGCGACTGGGCACTAACGGGTCTTGGTGCGCTCGCTTCGACCTCGAAGACCTTCGAGCCGACCTCGACATTTGGGTTGTCTGGATGTGGTCGTTTTTGTCACGTCCGCCCTTGGAAGGCGTTGAGCGCACTCTTACACTAGGCTTGTGCCCGGTAGTTGTTACGCCCTCGGGGCGGACGGAGCTCTTGCCGCCTTCAAAATACTCAATCAAAAGCGATGTTTGCGAGCGGTTTTCCCTGTGGCCGCGGGTGCGGACGGTAACTGGAGTTCCGTCGTCTGGGATTGAGATGTGTGGCTTGTCCTTCTTCTCGTGCACGTTGGAGATATTCGTCATAAGCTCGGTCGGCGAAGGTAGAGGAGGGGCCTTCTTTAAGTCGACCCCCATTCTGGACGGAGAGGCTGCTCTAGATCCCCCTTTTCGGTCTGCTATTGGAGCCCCATACATTGGTGACAACGGCGTAACAGCGGAGAGAGTGCTCCATTGGGCCGTGGCTTCAAAAGTTGGCAAATATGCAAGGCTTGATGCACCTTCGTGCCTAGAATGAATGATCGGCATGTTAGTTTTGAAACTCGATGCTTCTCCCAAGATACGCACTGTTCTTTCAACCGAGTTTGGCCAATCGCTTCCTCCCTCCCTTCAGCACTCATCCAAGCACACCTCAAGCCGTCATTTGCCGAGAGTCTATTGGCTGCGGATGGTGACATTGCCATTTTGATGAATCTGACGCAATTCTTGCTCACATTTGCCTCGTGAAGCAGAGCTTGCGGAAAGTCGTAACCTCGCGTCACATAGTTAAATAGCTCTCTCGGCGCCGAGAACGCAGGTCGATTTGTAATCAACTTGAAACATATCTCCCCAAGAGCCCATATATCAACAGCGGATGTATATGATTTCTTTTCATCTTGGTCTGCAGGATCATCCGTGATTGGAAAGAGGCCAATGATTTCCGGGGCTAGATAACCTATAGTTCCAATCATTGTCCGCATATACGTTGAGTCCTCCTCGACTCCTATACGATTGTTGTTAGATCAGCCACTTGATGTAACAGTCTTGGGATAGCGGGCTCACTTTTACTGATTCCAAAATCTCCAATCTTCACCCACCAATCTGGAGATGGATGCAACACCAGGATGTTCTATTCTGGCTATCTCAGGATGTGCCAACATTGGGGTATCATTATGCTACTTACGCTGGGCTTTAAATCGCGATGCGTGAACCCGTTTTCATGCATGAATTGAAGTCCTTCTAGTAGTTGCGAAGCGATGGATTGTACCTCGATTTCCGCATAAGGCTGAGTGAGTCGTTTTTGAAGATCGCCGTGCTCCACGTATTCCATGGCAATATAGACTGAAGATTCACTCTCATACCATCCGAAAGACTGCACGAAGCAATGCACATACTATCTGGAGTTTAGCACGTGAAAAAGCACGAAGTGCAGATGCCTTGCTGGGCGAAGACTTGCCTTGGTCTGGGAGAATTTCATGATGGCCTCCAACTCTCTCGTATAGTCAGTCTCGGCGTTGTTTGCCTGTATCTTTGATATCTCCTTCACTGCCCGCAATTCTCCTGCTTGGGGCCCCTCGGTACATGATTCAAGCCATACGCGACCGTAGGTACCGTCACCAATTCTTCTTTTCCGACACCATACCTCGTCCACCCTGACCTTCCGCTGTCGCTTACTTGTTATTGACTTGTACGATACATGATGGGTATCGTGAGCGATGAATGTCGTCTCGAGCTTTGAATCATGAACGAGGTCGGGCGCCCGTGGCATATTGACAGAAGCGGGGGAGTTGCGCCCGGAGGTCTCAATTCAAGCGATTTTGGGAGTACCCATCAATGGTGATGGCGCAACCGTAGGACAGACTTCCTAGCACCATAGACATGTCTCAATACCAGAACAGAGCATGGATATCGATTTAACTCGGATACAGGCCACTTCAGTACGGTCCAGCAAAGAAACGAACGATAAATGCACAGCGCTGAAGAATGCTCGGTAAGAAAAGAAAAAGAGCCATGGTCAGGCTCAGCTGAAATTGGGGGGATCCAAGGCATTTATTTGGCCCCCACGGCGGCACTGCCACTGCCACTATTTCCTGCCCGTGATCTAGACCTCCCCAGACAGGAATACTCAAGAACTACAACTTCAATCCAACAACAAACATCATGGAAGTGGCTGGACTTGCGCTCACATCGATAGACCTTTGTTTCAAGTGAGTTGAATCATACACAATGACACGATCCTGTCGCATAATGACTCAAATTTTGAAAGATATGGCTCTTTTCTTGTACAAGCATTCAACACCTGGAAGAGTTCCGAGAGAGAAGTGGCAGAGCGGATCACAATTTTTGAAAATGCTTGGATGAGGACGTTGTTCAACGCATCGATCATTTCCTCGACGGCGAACATCGTCGCATCCTCGGGGACACACTTGCTATTCTAGCTGCAAAACTCTCACTATTCACTGCAAAAGTCGAGAGCCTGCAGGTTACAAAGAGCGACGGCAAATACGGCTTCCTAGAGTCAGCCAAGAAAATCAAGAAAGGAAAGTATGTCTTGATGAAGTCGACACTCGATGAGGTGATTCGGGATATGGAGGATTGGCAAAGACGCTTTGACCCGTCGTGGTATCTTATTCTTCGAATTCCAGACCCTATGATAGACAGGGCACTCAATCAACACGTTCGAAAAATCATGACTGCGGCTACGGCAAGGACTTCGATTGAAGACATGGAATCTCATGTGTCTGGTACCTCTATTAGGTCCACGAATGTTGCATCACAGTCACTGTCGAGGCAAAGTCCATTAATCAACGCCGACGGGGTCCGCGATGCATTGAGACCTAACCCACGCTATATTTCGATATTTCTGCCAGAGGAGGATCTCGACATTGTCAGCATCCCTTACGCAAACGCAATGCTCGCTCGACGCCGAGGGAGCACCGGTACGAAATGGCTCATTATCAACTCGATCCAGTGCACGCCTTCGAGTAACATCACTGCCATGACTAAAGATATACGTGGCCTTGCCCGAAAATTGACACAAGTAGACCCATCACGCTTTGGACTACTCCAATGCAAGGGCGTGATACGGCTCCTAAGGCCGCCCTCGTCACGATTGGGTCCTCCTTCGACGCCAGAGATACAGTCTTTCGACGTGGTCTTCCGCTCGCCAGATGGCTCGTCGGCATTTCGTTGCCTGCGTGAAGATCTGCCCAAGCCAGCAAAAGTCTCACTCAGCAATCGAGTGCGCATTGCTCAGCAGATTGCCCAGTCAGTCAACTACGTACACGCCCTCAATTTTGTTCACAAGAATATTCGGCCAGAATCCATTCTCATCTGGGACGGCACAGGGTCGAAGTTCCCCTCGACCTTTTTGGTCGGGTTTGACAATATTCGGTCTGCCGACGGCGCCACGAACCTCATTGGAGATACCGAATGGACGACTAATATATATAGACACCCGACACGCCAAGGCGAGCGTCTCTTGGAATCGCACAAAATGCAGCATGATATATACAGCCTCGGCGTTTGTCTCCTGGAAATCGGGCTGTGGAATCCACTCATTCATTATGTTCAGCAAGATGGAGCAGGATTGTCTCTTCAAAAACGATGCCGCCGAGGAACCGTGCTCGATGATTTTGTGGCTGGTCGTGAAGAGACGAGCTCTATGCTGTCAGGGGAGCCATTCAAAAAGTATTTGGTCGATCTGGCGAATGCAGAGTTGCCTACCTTGGTCGGCGATAGATACACGGACATTGTGGTAAACTGCTTGACGTGCCTCGATCAAAAGAATAATGGATTTGGGGACGAATCCGAAATGCTCGACGAGGATGGGATTCTCGTTGGCGTCCGCTTCATTGAGGCGGTTCTGCTGAGACTCAACGAGATTGTGGTGTAGCAATGGTATGTATGGTCATTTTATCATCCCTGGTATTCGCGTCGTATTTTTTCAAGGGGAAAATGGAGCATGAACTATAATACACGAATGATACTTCAAGATAGACCCAACTCTGATCACGTCTGCAAGGCCAATGTGGAGGAATGATAGAGTACGAAATGCTTCATGTACATACCTAACTAGCGACGACCAAGACGCAGGTCTGTGCACGTACGGTGCAACCCCACGACGACAAGGCTTCTTATTCATACTGTATAGCTTGCCGATTATATGGCGGTTGAGACAGTGTGTCAACTGGTAGTGGCACGTGACAGGGGTCTTCTCGAAATTTTTGGTCCGGAGCTAATCGCGTACCGAATGCAAGGCAGAGCAATTGAGGTCGGCCCAGTCAGTTGTCGAAGCTCCTGAGCGAAGCCATTTGCAAGAACCCAATTGATCATCGACAGCGTCATTGTTTGCAATCGAGGGTAGACCGGCGTTTTGCCCACCAAACAGTCGCAAACATGGCCAAGGGGCAGAGATTGCACGTCTTGAGGAGGGCGGTAAGTACAAACTCTCTGAATGCCCTTTTACAATAGCTTTTTGAGCAATTGCTCTCTCATCTGCCCTCGTGGGCGCGCATGGAAGAGAAGATCATGTCTCTTCAAACCCCCGGCACTGCGCATTTCGTTCTTTTAGCAACAAGAAGAGGCTAACCACGGGTGCTTTTACCTCGATACAGAAACTGCGACAGTCATGGAACAAGTACAACCTCTACAACCTGTGGAAGCTAAAAGACCCCAAGATCGGCTCCTACGACGCCGAGACCTTTTTCCAGCAGAAATGGCGGGCCAAGGGTATGCTGCGGGCGTACCACGGCGAGCACATGAAGGAGCGCGACTGGTCGCGCATGTTCAACCGGCGGCTGCTCTCCGTCGCCGACATGGACCCGCGCTACATGGCCGAGCATGACGGCAGCGAAAAGGCCGCCGGCCGCGGCTCCGGCAAGGACAAGCCCCCCAACTGGAACGCTGTGGAGGTCAAGCCGAATAAGATTACACCCTACATGAACATGGCCTTTGCGCCCATGGAGCGGAGGCTGGATATCGCCATCTTCAGAGCCATGTTTGCCAGCAGCGCGAGACAGGCCCGGCAATTTGTCATTCACGGCGCCGTAAAGGTCAATGGCAAGAAGGTGCGTCGTGTCTAATCTTGTTTGTGCTGGATAAAACGAGCGAATGGTTGCTGACTCGTGGTTCTCTGTACTGTAGATGCCCTTCCCTGCCTACAAGCTCAACCCAGGCGACATGTTTCAGGTCGAGCCGGAAAAGGTTTTGTATGCCACCGGAAGGCCCAAGAAGGTATCCGGCGGCCCTACCAAGACTCCGAGTAGCCAGGAGGCAGTGGAGGAAGAAGGAGCCGACACAGAAGAGGCTGCCCCCGCCGAGGAGGGAGAGTCGACCGAGCCGGCCGCAACAGAAGCAGCCGAGGACGCCGGCAACGTGGACCGCAAGGCCATCACAAGGCTAGTGAAGCAAGCCAAGCACGTGCTCGAGACCGAGAAGATGGGCGTGGCCAAGAAGCGCGCCGTGCGAAGCTTCATCAAGCAGGCACGCAAGATTCAGGCGGATACCAAGAGTGACGCATCCCCCATCGACGTTGCCAGGAGGCTCAACGAAATGATGTCCGAGCTGAAGCTCAATGAGGCGGCAGCTGAGCCCACGGACGCAGAAGATACAGCAGCAGCAGCAGAAGGCCAAGGCAAGAAGGCCAAGCCGGCCGCTTTGGATCTCCTGACCAGCGACGAGCTCAAGACCTTGGCACAGAAGATGAAGGAGGAGCAAGACAACCCATATGACCCCGAGAAGCCGTATGCCACGCCATGGAGACCCAAGGACTTTATGAGTCCCTTTGCCTTCATCCCTCAATATCTCGAGGTAGACCACAAAATCTGCTCTGCCGTATACCTGAGGCATCCGGTAGCTAGACAGGGCTTCGCAGAGGTGCCAACGCCATTCGGCTACGGCATCAATCAGTTGGCGTACACCTGGTACCTGAGGAGAAGGTAGAGAGCCGGCTTGGTGTGGCTGATGGGGATATGGTGATGATAGTGTACTATAATGAAAATGGTGGCTGGGAGGCGACTTGGTTGACTGCACCAGCCGTATCTCCAACTAAGTGTATGCATAAATCGATCGACAGCAGCGCTAGCAAGGCAGTCAGATGTCGATGTGTATAGACAATGTACATTAAATGAAAGTGAATATAGCCATCATTGGTGAACTTTGATCACGAGTGGCATGTATGATTCTCAATGAGTAGCTTCCACAAACAATACACATTTTGTCATCACTCCCAGCTTTTCTTCACACTCTGCCTACCATTTATAGGAAGGTTCCCTTCGTTGACATGTGAAAAGAACAGGAGACGACTATCTGTCAATATCATTACCATGGCATATTCGGTCTCATAATCCCAGCAACTCATTAAACCGTTGATTGTAGTCCATGATTAGTCACCACTAAAGCACATGGACAAGGTGGCGGTTAAGAAAATCATCCTTTTTTTGTGTTTTGTTTTTACCGACCAAACTAGAAAAGGGAACATCTCAAACTACATAATAATGGAAAACAGAAATTAAACTTTAAAACGATTCAAGGAAATACCAGTGTGCAAGCCACAACATGTGCGGCAAGATGTGTAGATGAGAAACCCTAGCCACCTGAATGGGATGAGTTCTCCTAGAATACATGCCTCTAATACGGGCTCTCCGCAGAAGACGATCGGAGTCGACAAACATCATTCTCTCCATCTTATGGCAACAACCCAAACATCAGCCAACCCCCTTTTTCGTTTCCTGGGTATATTTTTGTCGTAACGTGTTAAAGGCGCAAGGTCCACAAAAGGAAAGATCCAGGCCTGCAGCCAAATTGACTTGCAGCAGCAGCAGGTCCACGCCCGTCAGAAAAGGTTTCCTCGTGCCATGCTTGTTCGTGCGTCTGGAGGTGCACGACAGGTCAGCCGTAGCCCTCGCACTATTGCTGGCCACGTCAGGTGTGGGACGGTGCAGAATAACTGTCCAAGTTGGACTGTACGAGACAATCGACGGCGCCATCAGAGATTAGATCTTTACAACTCGAAAGTATCGCTGCGATCCATTTTCTGGGCAAGGACCATTCTCGTTGACGAGATAGAGAAAAACTTCGTGACGCTATCGCTCGCTCCAACAAGTACGACGTTCTGCGAAGAACCATTTCGCTCAAGACGACCTTTCGAAAAACTTGTGTATTAGAGAATAATTAAAAGAAGAGAGACGGATAAACAAGAACAAGAATCGAAGGGAACGCATCAGGCTGAAACTGCAACGGGAATCATTAGAGCTCGGGCATGAGTCGTGGCAATGAACGAGTCGCTGGTGTGCCATTTTAGCGAAGAGAGAAACCCTTGCGCTTGCCCTCCTTCTCGATCGGTCTGCCGCTCTCGACTCTGCTCTTCTTCTCCTCGAGCTCTATCCGTTGTCGTTCCAGCTGCTCCTTCATCTCGCGATGCCGGGCGTAGAGCTCTTCCTCGCTCTGCTTCAGCTTGCTCTCCTTTTCGGCCACCTTTTGCTGGAAGACCATCTTCATCTCGGCTTCCATCTTGGCAAGCTTCTGCTCGTGCAGAGCACGCTCCTCTTCTTGCTTGACGGCGGGGTTGACCTCCTTGAAGACGCTTGGGTCTTGGGCAACACCCATAGCAGTGAGCTTGTCGGTTCTGTAGTTCTCGTACAGAGCGTTGTTGGTGTGCTCCTTGAGCTCCTCCATGTGGGTGCGGATGAGCATCTGTCGGAGCTTGACAAAGTCACAGTGCTCCTCGTTGTCGACCTCGATCACACCCCATGGGTAGCTACGGCCACGAACCTTGCGACCATCGGCATTGGTGATCTCGTTATTCGCACCAACAACAGCGAACGGAACCTTGGACATGATCTCATTGTTCTCGGCAATGGTCTCCTCGTCATCGAGCTCGTAGCGAGGGCCCTCGAAGATCTGAATGTCGTGGTGCTTGATATCGCTAAGGATCTGCATGCCGGGTAAGTGAATATTCAGGTGCACAAGGATAGTAGACTTACTCTGGCCTTGAAGGAGATGATCTCCTCGTCGGTGAGGGTATCGGCCTTTGCGATAACGGGAATCAAGTTGACCTTGGTGTGAAGGCGACGCATGACCTCAATGTCCAGAGGCTTGAGCGAGTGGCCGGTAGGCTGGATGAAGTAGACACAGGCGTGGATTCTGTTGTCCACAATGTTCATGCGGTTGACCTTGTTCTCGGCATCCAAGTATGCGTCATATCGCTGCTCAATGTTCTCGACAATAGGTCTCCAAGACTCGTCGTTGTTCACAAAGTCGCCAAAACCAGGAGTATCGACGACGGTAAGTCGGAGACGGACACCAGCCTCCTCGATGTCTGCGCTGATCGACTGAATAGTGACGGTCTTGGGAATGATGTCCAGGCTAGGACCCTTGCGCTCCTTGGGAGGGTACAGAGAAGTGTTGAACAGAGTGTTGACAAGAGTGGACTTGCCAAGGCCGGATTCACCTTGAGAGAAGTTAGCCCTTGTTCCTCCACATCAAAATCCAGACAGCTGAGTACATACCAACAACCATGACATTGAAGTTGAAGCCTTTGCGCACACTCTTGCGGTGCCATTGGTTTGGCAGGTTTGCGAAACCAACGTAGCCCGTCAATTTTCTTCGAACAATGTTCTTGTTTTCGTTCACTGAAGAGGACAGAGGGCTCGAAACTATAGAAACATGGGTTAGAAGCTAATGAGTATGCGGATCTTACAATCTACTCACCAGGAGCCGGCTCGGGCGAGCTGCTGGCCGGGAATTCGGTACCTGTAGCTGGAGGATATGTTAGTAAACGACGACACTGTCATGAATGATCGAACCAGAAAATCAGTCATGTTGCAAGAGACACCAAGAAGTCGAGGTACCGTCATAACGTAGGCCATCGCTGTCGTAGAGCTCCGAGTAATCCATGGGTTTTAGAGGTCTCAATGCTGGTGCATCAACGACAAGCATACTGCGATAATGCCGAACAGCTGGGTCTCGATTTTCCTGGGAGACACGAGCAAAGCTTCCAGGCTGGGAGCTCGTCGTCGTTACAGACAGCATAGAAACTCGGCTTGGCTGTTGGTCGACAATTTGCATCTTCCTGGGAAGAGAATCAAGCTGGACACTCCGGGTGCGAGCTTTGCTATGGTTGACGAGGAATGTAGGCATTTCTTTTTCTGAGCTCCTGGTATATACTGTGTTTTGGGTGTTTGCAGTAACGGAGAGGGAAACCGATGTTCCTAACAATGGCGGGATATTCCAAAGAACCAAAAAAGCGAGACCCAAGAAGTAGTAAAACAACCAAAAGCGAGCGCGAGAGGTGTGACGAGCGCGGGTGATGTGATGTTATTGTAGAGTGTGTTGAGGGAGGCCTTTCGAATGGGATTGGGAGCCGGCTCCGTTTCGAAAGGCCGACGTCTCGTGCTGGGCGACCGCGCAGTCGCAGAAGGTGCGATCCGGAAATCACGTTTCGGCGAGGTGTCTCTTGCAACATGGGGAACTCGTGGTTGGCACGAGGACGAGAAGATAGTGCTTACCCATATCGAAATATTCAAAGTGCTTCGATATCTATGTAGTAGTGCCGAGTCGAAAGAGAAAGCGCGAAGCCTGGTGTGCTATTAAAAGTTCAATGTCAGTCACGACAAAGGTACGCTTGCAATGAATGTGTTGGGTCGTTGTGGTCGTTATCAGGCAAAGGCCACGAGGAGTTCAGTGGAGAACTCCTGAGCGACTGGAAGCTAGAACGGGCGAGAGGCAGGAACGATGTAGACAAGATGAAGGCAATGACGACAAGCTCGTTCGTGTTTTGGAATTGGCGCCCAAACGGATGAAGTCGCGTTAGATGGGGAGGAGAGAGCATGCGTCGTTGAATGTTGGGAGGGCGGAAATTCGTCGTTGGCTGCTTTGGGCTCGGAAATTTCGAGGGTTCACACGTACGTACCTAAAGGCAATATCTGCCAAGCTCAAATATGTGCTGCCGTGTCTGCAGGTCAAGCTCGCGATTGGGAAAAAGGCGAGAAAGAGGTTTCGCGAGCGGACGCTGTGTTGGACACAGATTTTTTGGGGAGAAAAAAAAAGAAGACTGCAATTAACGGTGTAGAGATCTAGTGAATGTCGAGAAGGAATTCGCAAAGAAGTGCGAAGAAGGTAGAAAACGGCTGGTTCAACACGCAAAGGAGGTGGTTGAGATCCAGTAGGGGGAAGGCAGGAGATTTGGGGTTGGCGGAATGGGACAGTACTAGTAAGTCAAAGTAATGTGAGGAAGGGGACCTGTGCTTGGCTGTGCTAATGTTGGATTGGGGGGACGGGCGTCAGTGAGCCTTTGGTGGTAACGGGCCACTACAGCTGGTACCTTGAACTCTTTTTCGGGCCCTGTTTGGTGGCCGCTGGGCTTTACACTACACTCTGGCTAGGCTGTGATCTACCTATGCCGCTTCGCAAATTTGGGGTGGGGTCAGGGACAAGCCAAGAGTGGACTGGTGGCATGCATGGGGGTGGGCACTGGGGAGGATGAGCACAAAAGGGGCTTTCGAATCTCTGCGCCCAAAAGTTACATTTAACCAAACAAAACCCCCCTGGGACCAGCTGGGTTCTGGTACACGGCAGCTGCCATTGACCGTGTCATCCTATCCCAAGTTGTATCCGAATTGCTGATTTTAATCGTCGATGAGATGCCTCGCTCTTCCTGCTTGATCAGTCTACCTACATTAGTCCGTAGCTCGCTGTACCTATCAGCAATGGCTGGACTCAAGGTGGCCTCAAGGGACGCTGTCGTTTCGTCTCCACCAGTACTCCGGGATCTCGAGATGCGCCACATCCGAGCTTCTGATTGGTTCAAGCATCACATTTCAGTGGCAGGGATGATATTGAGGAAGAGGCTTGAGCTTGACATGCTGCATTCCAACCAACGGCTTGGCAGATTGAGGGAGCACGTACAATCTCAATAATATACAGCCCTCGGACGCGTACACACTGAGAAAGCTGAAGATGTTCCACACATTTGTTTTCTCTTTCTTCTTCTTTTTTCTCCCTTCATATCCCCTTGAATTCAACCTCAATCTCATGCCGCGGCCGAGGTTCTTCTAATGGCGTCACATTGTTTACATGGTACATGGCGAGCAAGCCCGATCGACACTGATGAACCGAGGCGACACCTAGAATATGAGACGACGAGCATCAACTTTTTCTTGACATCGATTTAAGCTTTCGGGGCATGCTGATTTAATCCGGAACATATCAGCGACCAAAAATGGACGACCAAGATCAGAAAAAAGTCGCGTGTGTCAAGAGACGCAGCAATCCGTCGTCAAGAAACAGGAAACAATTTGGTGACAGAGAGATTGATACTACATGGTCGATGCACGGACATGGCCTAGCAGCTGTTTGGACCCTGACGCCGGTGGACTGCCCGGACTCTGGGGTGACAGCGGGACTTGCAAAAATGCTTGAAATCGATGAAACGGCCGGTTAAGCATCATCCGTTGTGCATGTCTCGCTTTGTATGCATCGCGCCATGATTGAAATATTCCGAGGCGATTGATTCTCTCTGCTGCCCCGATTGCAGCTTCAATCCATTTTGTGTCCCTTCAGCCATTTCCCAGAAATGGTGCCTCGTATCAGAAAAACGAATGCAGCTCACATATCGCATCTTAATGAGCTCCATTCTGGGATCCACTAGCAAGGAATATCACCATGTGGCCAATAACCAATTCATATCGGCATGGTCCCTTGAAAGGGGAAGCACGAGCCGCATCAAATCTCAAAGTGGCGTTAGGATCATCATCTGGTCCGGGCTGTCTCCAAGCTTTCCCGTCGCGCTCCCGCCAAGCCCGTTGCTCTGGCATGACTTTAGCGAAACATGAGATTCGTTGGAGATCAGTCGATTACAATGCACTCACTGCCCAATGATGGTGACAATTCGAACGATCCGTACTTAGGCACAGTGGCCAATCAGCGATGCCCATCCCTGTGATACGATATAGAACACCACCAAGTCACTACATATAGACTTTTGTGTTTACCGAAATGTATACGCGATGCAGCCAGCAACAAACAAACAAGATGAAATCATGTAATAAGATCCAGTACTGTGATATCTCATGTCAACACTTGCGTAATCTTCTCCAACGAATCTCACCGTCCGCTGTTTAAGTTTGACTAAACCCTCTCTGCCTGGCTTTGTTGCTGAGCTTGCGGGCGCTGAGCAACTTGGCGTATTTGTGCTGCAAGGGGCATGTCTTCCCAGGGCATTCCCTGGCACAGCACAGCGCAATGAAGAATGCGAAGAGAAACCAGTGAAAAAAAGGGCCATGAGCCGGTTCTTTGTTTCAATCGTTGCCCAAGTAACAAACTCACGTTGGCTGGATCGCATCTTTTGAGTTGGTTCCGAGTTTGTGCTACTCAGCTCGATATACTCGCACGCGAGGAACCCAACCGTGGCCGGAAGCGGCCAAAGTGCGACGACAACAATGACCTCACTCGGCAAAGAAAGAGACCCAAAATAGCAAGCAAGAATGACTACCATTTCTGCTAGCGGTCCTAAGCAATATCTCAACAGCCAACTTTTGCCAGATGACTTACATATATAGCTTGAGATTTGAGCGCTGCAGACTATTCACATCTGCAGCCAGTACTCTCCATGTTCCGTAGGCCATATCGCAGTTATGCAGGCCGATGACTTTGACTGGATCGTCGAACAGCAGCGCCATGCGTTCGAGAGAATGCGATCGACCGCTTATGAAGAGTTGAGTAGCGAAAATGGCAGCCTAAGACAGCAGCTAGCACACGCTCAGATACGAGAGGACAAGATGTCCAAGGTGTTGGAGCATTATCGTGCTGCCAGGGCAGATCTCGAGCACTGCCTGGCCAATGTCAGTATAGAAATTCGGGGGGATGACGACGCTGGAGATGATTGGATCATCGAGCAACGTCGACTGTACGACCAATACACCAGCAAGCATCTAGAGGACCAGAAGTCGCACTCGTGGACGGAGGAAGATTTGTCGCAACAGTATTTGGATGAGTGGGTCCAGGTTGCAAAGGACGACGTATTGCCTGGCTCTGGAGCTTGGACAGAGCTGCCTTTCGAATCGGCTGCTTTTGATGACCCTCCGCCCCCCTATGAAGAGCAAGATGTCCATGAATTATCGATACCACGCACGCATGAGAAATATCTTCACGATGCACAGCAAAGGTCGCCGCCTTCTCCCTCACCACATGTGCGATTCGCAGCGCCGCACGACATCATCCCTTGTGCGACAGCGCCATGCTGCCCTTCTCGGAAGAGAAAGAAACCCAAAAAAGAAGTTATCGCTTTATACAGGAAGCGAGGCAATCGAAGCGCGGTGTGAGTACGCTTTCGTTGGGGTCGAGTGTCGGCTCGGCCGTTCTGGTGCAATCTTTATTGATACCTAGACTCTAGTGGACTGTTAGTCAAGACATTGGCTTGAGAGGCTTCCCGAATGGCAGGAATGAAGCAAAGATGGCTTGTCTACTTATGAGAGTCTTTCGGTATTTCAAGCATGTCTCCAACCCTGTTGGCCCCCTGACGATGGTGCCCAAGACCTCATGTAGGTCTGAAATCAAGACAGGCCCGGCTCTGTGTAGCTCGTCGGTGAATTATATACAAGTGGGCTGGTGTAGCATGAGCCAAGTTGTTCGCGAGTTCGAAAAACTTTTGGATTGATGTTGGTGGGCGAAACGATCTTTAACCAGAGATATCAATGATTATATCCCATGCGGGAACGGCCAAGTAGAGAGGTTCGAGGAATAAAATTGTTTCAGCATAGTACTTTGCACTTCAGCGAGAATGAGGTTAGATGTACTGGCCACAGATATTGAGACGATATGCTCGTCCTCGAGTACGACCTTTTCATGTAATGGATAAGCGCCGGCCAGGATTGATCCCCGACTGAGAGGATCTAGGACGCAGAGCAGTCATGATAGCAGAAGATAAATTGAGTAACATTTAGAATGGTCAAGAAAGTTTTAGGAAATCGTGTATTACAATGAATGCGTTCACAGAATGAGAGTTGGTATTCTTGGACGCAGTCATTTGACACCGTAGCCTGGCATGATCCAACTTCATTGACTGGACTGGCGATACAAGTGTCATCCAGACAGAGCGTCTTGGGCCGACTGACTGAGGTCAAGAAATATTGTTCGTCGAAATAAATTAATCACATTCAATTGTCGTATAGAGTAATTATCGCAACGAGGAAGCTCGCCAGAGCCGGGCTATCTCGCCCCTGCTTCTGCCCCAGATTCTCATGATCTTGGCATGGCCGGGGTTGTAGCACGCCATTTGGTAGATCTCTGGAGGAACTTCATATGGAGATTGTATTTCCGAAACGCGCCACATTGCTCGTATGCTATCATTATCATGGAGTAGGTTTTCCCACTCTCTGGTTACCTTCTGGGTTATCCGATTCGAAGGCTCCATATTACAGCCCTACCGCGCATGGGAAAGGGTCTCTCCCATCCCAAGCTTCCATTCCCAGCTTGGGATCCACTCTTCCCCGTATCGGTGGTATCAGTGTTTATTGCGCCATCGCTACTCATGATGGCGAATAACCATGATTTCCATGTTCCTGCAGTAGGGTCGGGAAGGCACAACAGGATAGGTGCGCAACGTGAATTGCCAAGACCTAGAGTATACTATAGTGATGCCATGGTGGGCCGGGCACGTGGTATTGCTGGGAAAGATATCTGTTTCAGCGAAATACCACAGCTTCGGATCCGCAAAATGGCAGGGAAACCGTTCATTATCTCTTGGATTCAAGTGGTATGATAGCGAGTGGACATGGAGTTGCATTTCAGGCTTGGAGCGAAATAAGAATTGGTGCCAAACCAGTTTCCTCTTTGTAGCCAGGACCATCCGATGACCAGCTTCTTGATTGTCACATCCTGCGCGCGGCAATTTTCAGAACCCCAATCGCCTCGGTCAAGGCAAGGCGAGATTCCATCGAATAGACTGACTTGGACCACGCATGAGTTGATGTCTCTGGAAGTTGATTCCCGCAGAAGCGTCACATGCGGTAGTGGGTTGTCCTTGACTGACGGTCGATTGACTAAGAGTGAGTGATTGCTAGCCAATGATTGAGAACATGTTCCAATATTGTACGTACAGCCTACGTAATAGCTGAATCCAACCAGAGCGTGATCGTAGTGGCACGGCATTACAATCACTAATAATTGATGTTTGTTTGCTTGCGGCCCGTGGATAGCCGGCCTGGCGCTGTTAAGTTTTGACGGGTAGCAGTCGGCTGCACATAAACAAGCCGAAGCACAATGACTGCTGACAACCAGTTCTACGTATGCCAAGACGAGCATCTTATCAGAACATTTCAAAGATATGCACCAAGGGACGTAAAACATGACAACTGTCCCATCTCTAGCGAGCGACCCTTGTTGCACAGACAGGCTAGGGTCCCGTCAAGTACCTATACTACTATACACAGGCGGGATCGGCTTATTCGGATCCGAAACTATACTTTCATAGCCATTACCCGCGAAACCAGGCAGGTCACAACAGCAATCAATCGTATCGTCGACGATGCAGATGATGCGATGTGGTGTATATTAGTGACACGGGCTTTCGGATTGAGATTGATCATGTTTCTTAAATCTTTGTCCGTATATAGTTTAGCAAAATATGGCCAAAGACCATTTGGACATGTTTCAATTGCAATGGCGCAATTCGGCACCAACCGATGAGGTCCGGGCAATGCAATAGAAATCGCCGCTCGACAACGGCTTGTGCGGGCGTGCTCAACGGAATAGGCAAGTAGTCTCAGAGCCGCGAGCGACGTCCCCAGCTGCGCTCTAGAGTCTCTTTGAGCCATCATCTCCGTCAATGTGCGCATTGGGGTCTCGACCAATGAGATTGAGTCTAGAGCACGTAATACTACTGCGTATACACAACATCACCAAGAGGCGTTTCTCTGAGGCGGCTCTTATCTGCGCGAGTCCAAAGACTCGGGGCCTCTCTGTAATACCAAGCAGCACATGTCCTGAGACCCGACACAGTTGAGTTGTGAATTGCGGCATGATTGACACCTGCCAAGGTGGGCAGCCGGTAGTTCGACACTGCCATTATGACGATCGGGGCCCCAATCCAAACTAGATCCCAGACCCAATTCTAACTAGCCTCCCTAGGGTCTCCTCCTGATACAGCAGACACACAAAAAGAGATCCATCAATGAATGGTATCTTCACCTAGGTCAAGGGAGCTTCTAGAATTGATAAATAGCATAAAAGTCCTGTCTCCTCTCATGTCTTGTACACTGAAAATCCAAGCATATCAATCCAAACCTGGCCATATTTGCTTTTTTTTTCGACTCACCGTGCTTGTCCTTTGCTTGTTATCACTGCAGCAAGCCTCACTGATACGTCCAAGCGTTGCCGAGGTCGGCGTACACCAATAAGGTGACGACCACAAGATACGAAAAGCGGAGCAGTGGTCCCAGCTGACAGATACGCACGCATTGCGACTTTCCAGCAACCCAACATACTGGCCACGTCGGCAGAGATAAGCCCTTCCCAGATCATACAATGTGTAACTTGACCTGTCCAACAACTCAACTGCCATCTCCTCCGGCATCAGACATAGGTTCCCAAAATACCGACAAGATGAACAGATTCGAGGAGCTCGTGGTACTTCTGAAGGATGCTCTCGGAGAGTCGTCTGGCTTGACCTCGGATGATGTGGATGTGGATGTCCTGAGCGACTCCATGGCGAGATATGTATCTGACGACGACGAATGGTCCAAATATGCTCTTGCCGATGCCAGTAGGGGCTATACACGCAATCTGGTCGACGAGGGCAACGGCAAAAGCAACCTCGTAAGTCTTGCCTTGTCCCCCTTTCATGCCTCCGTTGAGAAGAACCATTGCTGACAGATATGTCCAACATAGCTGGTGCTTGTATGGACACCGGGTAAAGGCAGTCCCATCCATGATCATGGCAATGCCCACTGCCTCATGAAGATCCTCCGCGGTAACCTGACCGAGACACGATACGACTTTCCCAAAGATACCCAGCCACAGGAGATGATGGTGAAATCACGCACAGTACACGAGGAGAATGCCGTCGCATATATGGCGGACGAGCTAGGTCTGCATCGCGTGTCGAACGAGGGCAGCGACTTCGCTGTCTCGTTACATTGTGGGTGTTGTCCTTCACCTATGCTTCAGTGATCATCCTTGCTGACCTGCTGAACAGTATACACACCTCCAAATGTTGCCAAAGGAGGATGTTGGATCTTCAATGAAAAGACGGGCAAGCGGAGCCATGTTCCCAAATGCGGATACTACTCAGCATATGGTCGTCTGTTGAAGGAATGAGAGAAGGGGTGAAGATATGAGATGATGATTGATACCATGTTGCGTGTATTCATACTTGTCTTGACATCATGTTGATGCACGGCGAGCTCTTTTTTTGTTCCCGGTTCTTGTTGGATAGCCAGAATGTCATTTGTGTAATATAACGATTTCGTCCACATCTCAAGTGCCACATGCTGTCCGCTCAATCGTCAATGACTGATGTCGTGGTGGTGATAGTGCCATATGATATATGAGCAGTCGAGAGCCAGGACAGGCCTGGAGACGCTTCCAGTTGGTGACTTACTGTCGGCAACATGCTCCAGATGAAGATCAATCGTCCAGATGTGTCAGCAAACGTGAGTATGAAGTTGAGAAGAGGAGAAGACGTCGTTGAGCCTCTTTGCTTAGACGGCACCTTTCTCATGGCTTTCTGCGCTAGTCAATCACGCAATCGCCCCTGTCTGCACTACTTGGGCAACAAGTGGGTCTTTACCCAGAGGTACGTACCGGCAGTTCTTTGCAGTGTGCAGCCACTGGAGCACTTGTAGTAAAAAGCACGAGCCACACGAATCAAGGAGCTGGAGATTGAGAAGCAAGTACATTTGTACCTAGGTTAGTTGACAAGTCACCTGAGGACGCGACTTGTCTATTGTTGGCGCGTATCGTTTCTTTTGCTGCTGCAGGAAAGCGCGTCCAGGAGCGTGAATCGTTTTGCCCTGAATTGATTTCACCACGAGACACTCTGCAAGTTTTTCTTTGAAGAATTGGCCCAAGGCATTTTATTAAATGGAAATCCTGTTGTCTTTCCAATTAAGTACCCAAAACTATATTTCACCAGCCCCCAAGTCTTGTTGGTGCCATCTTTGTACCACTTCAGCCTGAAAGGACCAAATCTCCAAAATAGGTACTACATTCATAGCGCGGAATGACAGCCCAAAAGCGTGGCCGCGAGCCGGCTGGAGGATCAGATCCACGCACCACTAAGCACGCGCGCTTCTCGGATACTCCAGCAGCCTCGACGAGCCGAGACAATGTTGCTGCAGGGTCTCAGAGCTCCCAAGGCTATGCCAGTTCTCAATTACCGACGTCTACACAGGTCATCGACGACGATGAAGCCGACCTTATTGACGACCGTGCGCAGTACGATGAGGGTCCTGTTTTCGACCTATATGGTACTCACGATGCAAAGATCGTCGGCGTCAGATACTACAATGGCGTCGTCACTCCCCATGAGCTGGTAATGCTGCATCGAGAGCCGCACAACCAATATGATCCCAACGCCATCAGAGTCAACAATGTCATGGGACAGCAAATTGGCCACTTGCCCCGTAACCTGGTTGCCAAGCTGGCTCCATACATTGACAACAATGAAGTTGTCCTCGAGGGAGTCCTCACCGGAGAGAAGGCATTCTACGACTGCCCGATCAAGCTGTACTTTTACGGTCCCAGTGAGCCCATGGCTCGTATGATTATTGAAAACAAAATCAAAGCGGATAGGCTTATCAAGGCCACTGAAATGAACAACAATAGAAAGGAGCAAGAGGCTCGCAGGAAGGTCATGGGCATGAAAAGCGGCACCACCACTGGTACTGGTCTTGGCAATACTGCCGAGGCCACTTTGCAAAAGCAAGAGCAAGACGCGACTCTGCAAGGCCTTGTTGCCACGAGCGAGGCCCTTGAGACGGTCCGCTCAGATACCTTTACGGACACATTGGCTGCTAGTGAAGATCACCTCAAGGCCATGCCCATGGCACCACAGCCAGATGCCCTCAAATCAACACTGCTGCCATATCAACTCCAGGTATGTTTAGCTTGCTCCTGTGGTGCCGTGTCAAATGAACTATACCCGATTTTCATGTGTATATATGAATCCCCTCATGCACCAATTAGTGTCATGTTTTCGTCTCTAACCCAAGTGCCGCCATTTTCTGAGATTTGACAATACTAATTCATGATATTGTACACAGGGCCTTGCGTGGATGACAGCAAAGGAAAATGTCAAGCTTCCTCCTGTTGGCTCAGATGAAGTCGTGCAACTATGGCAGCGCAAGGGAGCGGCCTCTTACCTGAACCTTGCGTCATGCTTTGTGACATCCTCACCTCCAAAGCTCATCTCCGGTGGTATCTTGGCTGATGACATGGGTCTTGGCAAGACTCTTCAAGTCATCAGTCTCATCATGTCTGAAGGCTTCAAGAATGGCCCAACGCTCATTGTGGCGCCTGTCAGCGTGCTCAGCAATTGGGAACAACAGATCAAATTCCACGTCAAGGAGGATCAGCACCCTGACGTGCTGGTCTATCATTCGATCAGCAAGACCATGTCGGCTTCCGAATTGCAAAGGTACCATGTCGTCATCACCACATATGGTATGCTCAGCTCCGAGGCAAAGACAAAAAATTCGTCGCGTCTCTTCGGAGTTGAATGGCGTCGTGTTGTCTTGGATGAAGGGCACACCATCCGGAATGCGAAAGCTCAGTTGGCGCAGGCAGCTCACATGATCAAGGCCCAATCTCGCTGGGTTCTCACGGGCACGCCTATCATTAATACCGTCAAGGATTTCTTCTCCTTACTGAGGTTTTTGAAGATTACAGGAGGATTGCAAGAGGACGGATTGTTCTCCCAAGTCATAGCTCGCCCGATCAAACAGGCTCATAGTAGACACCCTGACAGGATCAAGGCGGTCAATGTGCTTGGGCACCTCATGAAAGACATCTGTCTCCGCCGAAAGAAGGAAATGTCCTTTGTCAACCTCAATTTGCCGCCCAAGACAGAGTACATCCACCGTGTCTCCTTCGATAAGACCGAGAAGACCAAGTACGACGCGCTTCTGGCGGAAGCACAGGGCGCATTGGAAGATTTCCAGAACAAGTCGAACAAGGGGCAGCTGGGAAGGTATACCAATGTCTTGGAGAGACTTCTTCGTCTCCGACAGGTCTGTAATCACTGGACGTTGGCCAAGGAACGCGTCGACGATCTCCTGAAACTGTTCGAAGACCAGAAAGTTGTCGCCTTGACTGACAAGAACATTCCCATCCTGCAAAAGGCTCTCCAACTGATGATTGACAGTGGCGAGGAATGCCCGATTTGCCTGGACGAAATCTCCCAGCATGAACCTGTCATCACAGCATGCAAGCATGTTTTTGGAAAAGCTTGCATCTCCAAGACGATCGACCTGCAAGGTAAATGTCCTTACTGCCGGGCTGAGCTGACCCATGACTCGCTCGTGGAGACAGCGGAAAGGGCAGGTACACTTCAGGTAGACGACTCGTGCAGAAGTTCAAAGACAGAGGCACTCGTCAAGATTCTCCAGGCCACCCTCAAAAATGACGGCTCGAAGGTCATCATATTTTCGCAGTGGACATCATTCCTCGACATTATTGCCTTGAGACTCCAAGAGGCTGACATGTCCTTTGCTCGAATCGATGGCAGCATGGTGAAGAAGAAGCGAGACGAGTCCATTGCCGCGTTGAATGAGGATCCCAATACTCGAATCCTTCTTGCAAGTTTGCAAGTCTGTAGTGTCGGTCTGAACCTCGTCGCGGCCGACACTGTTGTCTTGGCCGATAGTTGTAAGTTTTAATCCTGTGCAAAACTGCAGCTTTTCATTTCTGACACTTGAAAAGGGTGGGCTCCCGCAATCGAGGACCAAGCCGTGGATCGAGTTCATCGGCTGGGCCAGACACGGCCGACGACCGTGTGGCGTTTGGTCGTGGAGGGCACAGTTGAAGAGCGTGTCCTTGACGTCCAGGCTGAGAAGCGGAAGCTTGTGAGCGAAGCGTTCCAGGAAAAGACCAAGGGCGGAAAGGCCAAGGACACCCGGTCCATGGCCGACATTAAGAAGCTGCTCTCTTAGACTTGGTCACCCCTATGCTTCACATGATTCGAATCGCTTACACGTCGAGGAGAAAGCGCTCCACCCATTTTTTTCCACGAAGGCTTACGGGAGAGTTCAGGACTGCACGCATCCCGATCACCATTTCTTCTACTAATACATTACCACCTACCACATTTGCAAACTACGGAGTCATGTACACTACAATAGATCGCTTAGCGGGCGCCTTGGGAGTCTTGTCCCAATAGAGATGAGCTAGACAAAAGTCGTACAAAGTATCTCTTCCTTGATCTACCACTGGGTGGTACTCTTTCCTGCCAAGATCTTATCCCGTCTATTTATGTTGCGGAAGAAATTTCGGCATGAACTTATCGTCAGCATTGATATTCGGAGAATATCATTAAATATTCTTTGCCCGAGGTTTGTTGATTTTATCTATCGCTAGGTTGTATTCAGAGTCAATATCGTCTGTCCAAACCCACTGCATCCTGCCAATCACCCGTTTATGAATCTCTGCGACACAATCTTCAAACGGCAAAGCCTCCATTCCACCAGCTCGAGCCTGATATATCTCCACGGCAGCCCGAGATGTCGCCGCAACTTTCTGCGCGCGAGGAAGACGGACGTCCTGATAAATTTGTGCCCAGTCGGCAATATTCAACTCTGATGAAGACTGATTTCGGAAGTAGTCCTATTTCACAAACAGAAATCAGTGATTACACATTCCAGCGCTTGGGATATGTCTGTCAACACTTGATAGCAGGATGCCATTATAATGAGACATTTGAAGTATTTCTTCAAGAATTGCAGATGTGAAGGAAAATAAGGGGTAGAGGAAGAGAAAAACACTTACTTGAAGTGCTCGGCCAAGTATGTAGCCATCTTCAATAGCCTGGCCGGCGCCGGCGCCTAGCATATAATTAGCATATTCTTGCCACAGACATGGTCAAAAAAAAAAAAAAAACAAGGGCCTACCCTGATGAGGAGTCATGGCATGAGCGGCATCTCCCATCAGTATCACCTTGCCATTTGAATATATCCACTGATCAAGGGGCTTCCGATCGTTTATCAACCATTTCGAAGGCTTTTCTGGCATAAGGTGGATGACCTTTTGCACTCTCTCTTCGAACCCTTCAAATGCCTTCAAGACATCCTCCTTCCGCCCAAGCGCTGTCCAGCTTTCTCGCAGATCGCCGAGGTTTTCCTCCTTCTCAGCGACAAATGCGACTATATTGAGCGTTTTATTGTTGGAAATGGGAAAACACAAAAAATGTCGGTTTTTCCCGAGCCAGGTCACAGCATAAGTATCAAAGCCCCACCACTTCTCGATTTCCGATATGGGGATGAGCCCACGGTATGCAATCTGGCCGCTGTATTCCGGTTTATCGGTGGCGAATTGACCTCTCACTGCAGAGTGTATACCATCACAACCGAGAACCAAGTTTGCTGTGGCACTGGTACCGTCCTGGAACCCAATGAGAACCTCATTACCTTGATCCTATGCATCAGTCAGCCATTGGACCATGTCGCTGATCTACCTTCAACACACCGAGAGCTTGACACAGCGTTTATGCGAATGAAGCATCGCTGCTTTGCGTTCTTTTACGATGGCGACCAAGAGATCCAGAAACTCGGCGCGATGCACCGGCAGCTGCTTGATCACGTCCGTATCGGCCGACGGCACCGTCACCACGTCGGACCCGTCGTCGAACTTGCGAAAGCTGACCCAGACTCTGCTGCGCCGACCGGCGATACTGGACACGGCCTCGCCGATGCCAATCTTGTGCAGCAGCTTGGCCGCGTTGACGCCGATGCCGACGCCGGCGCCAATCTCGCGGTACTGCGGTGCTTGCTCGTAGACGTCAATGGCGACGGCGGAGCCGCAGTGGTGTTGAATGAAGAGGGCGGTACAGAGACCGCCGATTCCACCGCCTATGATGGCCACCTTTAATGGCGTTTCCATTTCGAGGAAGACGTTTTGAGAGGTACACTCAACTCAGAACTTTAAAAGCGTATGGTTGTTGTTGTTCTAGTAGCATATCCTGCGGAATTGACACTTGGCTGTTTCTTTGGAACTTGGAAACGGATTGAGAAAACGGCCAGTGTTTGGTCAGTCACACACGTATCGTGACAAATGTATCGTCACTTCGTGTGCATATTGTCTCGGCTGTTGATGTGACCTTGAAAGAATCTCGCTTACCCCCACCCAAGAGCGAGAGACAGAGGTTGCTGCAGAGTAGAGCGGGGGAGGTATATTAGTACCATGCAAGTTTCGGCAATTAACTACCATCGAATAATGATGCGATTATACCCGTGTCCTATCTGCAAGTGTAAGACTAGGTATACTGGCACTAGAAGTCATGGCGCCGCAAGTGCCGCAGATTCTTGCCAATAGTATGATCTCCACTGTACCTCATCTATGCATATGAGCAATTGAGAGGTAATTCTCATGCCTAAAAACATTTATCTCATTACTTGGCCTGCATCAATGGTCAATGGCGGCAAGTGTTATCCGAACTCTGCATTGGTGGATGTAACCTTATTATAGCCCCGACTCTACCTAGCCTCCAACAGTCAGCTTGAGTAGGCGAACTGGTCCTCGCAATAACATGTATGCCATGTCGGTTTTGCTGATTTTCAACTTCTCATCGTCGTGGACACCTAATTTTCAAGTTGCGTTGACTCTTTTGAAAGAAGGGCATAACTTTCACCATCTAGGATATATCACAACTGAAGAAAGGTCAACACAACAGGGTGCAAATCATGCTGAGAGAGCAAGAGAAGGGAGTAGCCCGTCACAGGGAGCATTCAGCAACCAGAGAAAACGCAAAAATTGTGCTTGGCCGAGATGACACAATTGGCTTGAAGCTCGATAGACATGGCTTGCCCCTTGTACCACAACCTACGGATCGAAAAGATGACCCATTAGTAGGTCAAGCTGCTTCCTCTGGTTTTTATTTATCAGGTGTCTCTGGATGCATATACTCACCTTGGAACAGAACTGGTCGCCATACCTGAAACTTCTGGTCCTTTTGCAGGTCAGCTGGCTGGCATTTCTGGGACCCCTGGCCGCAGCCGTGATCAATCCAGCATTCGTGCCTCTCAGCAACGAGTTCGGCATCACTCCGGTCCAGGCCACGTACGAACTGACTGTATATATTGTGTCCGCCGGCGTCGGCCCCTTGCTCACGGTGCCGCTGGCCAATGTCTACGGTCGGAGACCGGTCTATCTCCTCGGCAGTCTCACGGCAGCGGTCACCAATATCGCCGCCGGCAAGTGCAAGTCGTGGCCCGGACTCATGGTGACGCGCGTGTTCAATGGTATTGGTGCGGGCTCGCCGGTCGCCATTGGCGCCGCGACGATATGCGACATTTACTATTTACATGAGCGCGGCTTCTACATGGGGATATTCTCATTTTTCCTCGTAAATGGGCCTCATGTCGCTTCCCTTTTAGGTGGTTTTATTGCACAAAATTTGGGATGGCGATGGTCTTTCTTGATCCCGGTAAGCCAACCTGTATAGTGTATTAAAGAACAACCACTCATGAAGTGTATAGGGATATGTTCAAATAGCCACCGTGGTTCTCACATTATTTTGCCTACCAGAGACCATTTATTCGCGCCAAACTGCGCCCGGTCGCCGCGACCGTTCGTTCATGGACCTGCTCCTCTTCAGACACCAGGGTCTGCAGGGCGCCAGGATTCGACCAAGAGATTTTACGCGGCCATTTTACATGTTCAAGTATCTCTCAATCGTGATTCCGGGAATCTACTACATGACCGCCTTTGGCTTCGGCTCAGTCCTGTTTGCCGCGACCGGCGCGAGTCTGTTCCGCGAGCTCTATGGCTTCAATGTCGCGCAGACAGGGCTTATGCTGAGCGTGCCGTTATTGATTGGTTGCCTTCTCGGCGAGATGAGCGCAGGATGGCTTACCGACCGCATGGTCTATCGCTACGCCAGAACCCACGGTGGACGAAGAGAGCCCGAGGCACGCCTCGATGCCGTTCTTCTGGCCATCCTGTGTCCAATCGGCATCATTATCGAGGGCGTATGCCTGTCGCACCACAATACAGTCCCTTGGGTAGGCGCCGCGTTTGGCATGGGTATCGCCAACTATGGCGTGCAGATTGCCAACACGGTCACGTATACCTATTGTACCGATGTGAGCGACGACCATATCTAATAAAACTTATCCATATCTCCCAGAGACTGACAAGCAACAGTGCTATAAGCCTCAAAGCTCCGAAGTCTCGAGCATCCTCAACGTCCTCCGCAGCCTCTTTTCCATGACCATTTCGTTTTATGCGTAAGTTTTCATTTATAAAAGCTCGCAATCAAGACATACTAACCAGTTGGAATGTGCAGAATCCCCTTTGGCAAGGCGGTTGGGTATCAGTATGCGTGGCTTACTTTTGCACTAATCAATGTTGCTCTACTGGTGCCGGTCATCTTGCTTCGAGTCTATGGCACGCAATGGCGGAATAGTGCTTGGCAGAAGCCGCCCACTTTCCACAACGATCTTTAGATCTCGATAGCAACCTAATGGAAGCAGAAAGTGTGAATGTAAAGAGATTCTCATGATAACAGCGCGATCCACTAGGCTTTATTTTTGAATAATAGTAAATACCAAAACTAACCCAATGACGAACCTGACCCAGCCGACGAACGATTAAACCACTTGTATGATTGCATAATGTTGGCCAAAGGTAAGGGGGCCATAGCACATGATCTCATGCTCACGCCAATTCAACCAAAGTGAATGAAGAATGGGGCAATGTTACGTTGAACGCGCCATTGATTACCTTGACTGGCTCCTCCTGCTCCGAGTTTGTGATATTGGTTAGGCGGGAGGGTTTGCCATTGGCCAAGTTGTAGTTGTATGAATAACCATCCCAGGTGATCCCCGTGATAGCATCGCTACCGTTGGCCATGAGCCTCTTCACGCTGCCGGCCTTGTATTTGGATTCGTCGGAAATGCTGAAGGAGTATGTCTTAGACGGTCTCGTAGTGGGGGGTTTGGTGTAGTTGTATCCCGCCATGTTCAAAATAGCGATACTGGCCAGACTGCCATCCTTGTAAATGGCGTAGGCCGAATCCGTTGTGTTGGACATGGGAATAGAGGATATCTGTGTCTTGTTCCGCGCCACATTGCCTAGGGTAGCGGCTGTCGCGATATTGCCGTAATAAGGGGCCTTGGTCACGGGTGTGGTACCATTCCAAGACGAGGGGTGCCAAGCGGCGTAATTGTAGCCTACACCATTGTGTAGATGAATTCGCCAAATTCCGACCGAGGCGGCATAAAGTGCAAAGTCAATGTTCCACAATGCTGCCCCGAACGAGTTCGACACCCCAGACTTGCCTTGACTGGATAGGCTGTTGCCTTCCCCTATCATATATGGTAGGTCGGTATAGGGAGCCACTGCGCTCATGAGATCTACATGACCATCAACGACTGATTTTGTTGTGGCGTGGTTCATGAGAGTGTCTTGTAGTGTGACGCCTAGCGAGTTGGCGCCCGCGACATAGCTGTGGGCTGCGATGATTGTAACATTTTCGGCGTAATCAGCAAAGCCGGCCTCGAATGCAGGTTCAATCCAGGTTTTTCCGGCAAAGGAGGGTGCAGTGAGCCGGAAGGGCGTATTCTCGCAGCCGGATTCCGCGTACAGCGATTCAAGAGTGGCAGATCGATTGCGCCAATCATCGAGCCACAAAGAGACATTCCATCCCGCTGCTCGGATCGGTCCACGGTTCGACTTCTTGCTGGCGTACTGGTCTAAAGAGCAGCACATGGTCGTTAGTTGTGCCGGATCCAGATAAACGTCACCTAGGGGACTAACCTGCTTCATTCCCAATCTCAAAGTATGCCAAGTTGCTTTCATTGAGAGCCTTGCAGGCCAATGGCAGTGTCGACTTCAAGTTGTTGAAACCAACAGTGCCATTGGCGCCCAAGTTGAATCCTTGAGAGAATTTGACGTTATCAAAGACCTGATATCCTTCAAAGAATGACTCTCCATAGGTCAAAGTTGTTGGGTAGGCAATATCTGGATTGCCAAAAGTGCCATTCACAGCAACCTTGAGAAGCGGATCAAACAGCGCATTGTCTTGTGTGTTCCCACCAACTCGTAAATAAGGCTTATGTCCTTGGACATCGTTGAAATTGTTTAATAGATGGTTTGTAAACGTATTTGGGTGACTGAGGTTCCCTATCGGAACGTTTTAGAATCAATCAAAACGAGCTCGGTATGATCCACTTACCGGAGTATTCTGCAAACCATGCAAACTCAATGGAGTAGGATAGGAAAGCCTTTGCTACTGGCCCGCTGATATTCGCCGGAGGACTTGACGAAACCAGTGTTCCGGCATAAGCTCCCACGCTGAAGGTGGACAAATACACAAGAGGAAGATACTTCATCGCGAACTTGGTCGGTGGCAATAGGCGCAGATGAAACTTTGACTTGATCGATTGAAAATCTTTCGTAGTTGTTGTGATTTGAGACAGCAGAGTGGAAGCTGTAGTGCTGAGACGGACTATTTAATTCATTTTACAACCCTCGTAGACATGATTGTATATGCCCAAACTGGCCTATCGTGAACCTATGTCCCAGTCGACGGAGAAATATTGATCTTCAACCTACGCCTCCCCGGTGGGATGTATTCAATAAAACCAGAAAAAGGCCTATTGCAGTAAGTGATGCCTTGCCAGGCAGCCTGTTGTGCCAATAGTCAGGTACAACCAGATACTCATGTTGTGCAAGTAATAATGTAATGTTTCTCTTAATGTACTTTGACATCAATGACCATAGATCTTCATACTCTATACCAAATTCTCCAAAATTCAAAGATTCTGAATGGTGGAAGAAAACCTGATTCTTTCAATAGAGCCTTGAGACATTGTTTTTGGGCATGTGGAAGATTTGCGCCCCGCCTCTTCGTTGCTATCGGGGTAATGATCATGGACTGTTAGCTCAACAGGACCAAAGACTCTAAAAGTTTACAGCCGCACGTAGCTTGGCAATTTGTTGCCAAATATGATTTGAAGTGCATGAACAACGCATCTATTGTGCTTTCATTACCCGTCGATACAACTGTTATATCGTGACTCTAAGGAACCACCAGACAGTACAAGTAGATGTTTACGATTGCCGAGATTAGTTTTCATCCATGCTTCCCCCCCACCTTGAATTACTCCCTGAGGGTCATTTGTGTGCATGCGGAAAAGAATAGTTGATTAGTCTCATAATTATGCGGCATAAAGGAATCCTGAAACTAGATCAAGGCTGACTGAGGCGAATTTAGTCCTGCAATGATAGGATGAAATTAATCAGCAGTACAGAAACCGTGAAATGTGCAAGATTCGGACTTGAGCCTCGGCTTCCGGTTTACCATCGGTATACGGTGGGCTAAGAGTTCCTTTTACCATCCCCAAGATTATCTTACCGACGCGGGCATTGCGATAGTTGACCCGACGTGATGGGTTTCGGAATAATGCAATCGGTGTTTGACTGACGACGTGAACATCATTGATTGAGGCTCCTGAAAGTATGCAGACTTCTGATTGGTGGAAAGGGGATACTGGTGTACTTGTCTATTGAGCGAGGGAGCGAGACTATTAACCTAGGCATGCTCAACAAGCTGATGGCCGTGCCAGACAATGTGGTGCACCGAACGACGGTCATAAAAATCAAAATTTAGAGTATCCCAATGAGCGTATTGATTGGTGGAATGATATATCATTATACCCCATACAGTTTCTGACAGGAGAATAGCTTCACTATCACGAGAAAGATTGTAATGGTGAATATCTGGCTAAGAATGAACCAGAATCACCACGCGAAGATTATTCCAGGGGCTGGCTAGTCATTATGCCGAGCGGCACCAACTAGTATAAATATGACACGGCCTCAAGGCTTGGCATTTAGCAAATAAGCCGGCTCAAAATCATAAAAAAGACATTCGGACTGTGAAATGATTCTTCTTTGAATCAATTCAACACAGGTGACTGGAAGCATTCATCGTACTACAGAAAACAATCCGCGACGATGGGTCTTGGCCATGCCTACTGTGCTTTGGCACTCGCGTTGCTGGGCGTTTGCCGCGTGGGCGCTGTCAGTCTGGATGTACCCAGCGCGCCCGATGCAGACCGACAATGTATCGATCCTAGTTTTCAAGCCTTTTCGATTGAATTCTTCTCCTTCTTGGATTACACTGGAAACTCTAGGTAATGATGAAAAGTTTGATAGTCTCCTCAGTATTCTGAATTTTAATCTTTGATCTAGCTACTCGAACGAGCTCAACACCAATCTTGTCAACAATATTATAGACATCGGCGGGTCTCACGTTGAGATGCGCATTGGCGGCTCGTCTGGCAACTTGCTCCACTGGGACCCAGATCTGGACGTGGGCATGTTGCCATCGTTTCCGTCTGGTTCTGACAAGCCAAACTACGTCAAAGTGGGACCCAAGTTGATGGAAGGCTTCAGTGTATGGCCCAATAATACAAAGTACATCTTTGGAATGGACTTCAACTTTAGCACCTACGACAATCTTGTTGAGACGGACTTGAACATCGCTCCGTTGGTCTTTGACACTCTCGGTGACCAGCTGGAAAGCTTTGAGATTGGCAATGAGTTTGGTCGTAAGTCGAAATCCATGATTGTCGCAAGTTTCAAAATGATTAATGTATAGAACAGATGGTTTCAAAGAAGGAATCCCCGGTTATGTGGAGCTGTGGCTCGCGTATGCCCGCAACGTGAGCGAGGCTGTTTGGAGTGTTGAGGACACCAAAAAGTTCTGGGTTGGAGGCTTTCAGGAGCCAACCTGCTTTAACTCTAGTTGCTTCACAGTGCAGACCATCATGGAGCAGGGGATCGAGGACAGCGGGCTTGCCAAGACTGCTAACACGCATGTTGTAAGTAGCCACATCGGCAACTGTTAAAAATGTATTTATACTGATGTTGTGACCAGTACATGGGCTCGGCTGGGTCTTCGTGGCTCGATTCGCAATTTCTCATGAATCACAACAATACGCAGGGCAAGGTTGATTGGCAAGCGCCTCTGGCCGACTATGCTACATCGATCGGAGTTCCGTACGTGATGGGCGAAACCAATTCCTTGTCGGTAAGTCACTACCATCCTACCAGCTCTCGGCGAACTACCCTAATCCATTGACTAGGGACATGGAAAGGCCGGGGTATCTGACACTTTTGGCGCGGCGCTCTGGGCTGTCGATTATGTCCTGTACGCAGCAACCACCAACATAACCAAACTCTATTTCCACCAAGGAACTGGGTGGAAATACTCAGCCTGGTCACCTGTGGAGGCCTTTGGGTTTCCGGCTGGTGTTCAGGGCACTTACTTCTCCTGGCTTTTCACGGCAAAGGCACTCAAGGGGGGCCACAAACAATTCGAGGTCCTGTACAGTAACCAGACCTTTGTGGCCTACGGAATCTACAAGAATGGATGTTCTAGCTCCAAAGCCAATTTGGAGTCCATTGCAGCCATCAATCTTCAGGCGTGGGATGCCAGCGAAGACTCAGCTGACAGGCCTGTCATCTACGTTGACATACCAGAGAGCCTCAATGCTACCTCGGCGAAAGTAAGACGCCTCACCGCGCCCGGGGCCAATGTCAAGTGGGGAATCACATTTGACTCTCAAGGCGTGGACACGGATGGTACTATCAATGGCACCGCAAAGAGCGAGAAAATCTCGGATGGTAGAGTGGGTGTTGCAGCAAGTGAGGCGGTACTCATCACGTTTTGAATGTACAGGCACGTTCACCTGACGGTACAGAAAAGTGAAATTTCTGCTCTCACCTGAGCCGATGTGTGAAGGGGGAACTGAAGACGAGATGATCGAGGAAGCATTGAAAGTTGTCTGAGTTGATCTCTAGTCTACAAAAGAGAGGTGCTGAAGAGCGACTATATACACACGCAGGTGATCTGCGGTGGGTACTGACTACGTCAGTACGACATCTGCTTATTACATTCGCTGTGTAGCACATTTTCTTCAGACGTTGGCTTGAACTTAGTTGCGGCTCGATTAGCCTGTATTATTTTTACATTGTATCGCTCATTCCTGGAAAATCAAGCATTACATTTCTAGCAAATTTACTTTTACAGGCTTTGCTAATATAGATAGTAACCTGCAGCAAAGGTGAAAATTTTGTCGCACCTTTTGGTGTGTTCTCCTTTCTCTTCTCCATGGCGGACATGTATATGTCCGGAAACATTGGTTTTACAGGGATCCCGCCGTAAGAGGAATAGTCGCCAAGTTTAGTAGAAATCCGGGGAAGAGACCATAATTGCTTAACGCTGGGTCTCTAGATTCTTTTTCCCATAGTGCTAATGGGTCATGCAAAGTTCTGTAGAATTCACTAGGCGAAGTCTAGGAGATGAAGTGTGAATTGTAAAGACAAGTATCTCAGCATCGGAAAAGGTGAAAAGTGTCTATAAGTCGTGAGCATATGTACGACGGAAGTGTGCCCCATTTCAGCGTGTGGGTCCTCGAAAATATATCAGCCTTGACCGTTTTGGGAACCTAGTCTTCTTCACCTGTCGAGGCGGACATGTTTTGTCGCGGTCGCCAAGGGAAGATCTGGGGGTGCTTGGCCTAGATTGTGTTTTTCCATGAGTGGACAGAAGATCCTCGATACATGTACCAGGCAGTTGGCGCAGCCTATTGCCGCAGATGAACAGGTAATAGATTGCTGCGCCCTCGGTCTTGGACACTAATTCTTTTGTGTTTCTACTTCCTACCAGAATCTATGCCTTCCACTGATACCCATACTGTACCGTCACTATCAACCAAAAGATCCAGGATCCAGGTTAGCTAGGACTTTGGAAAACTTCTGAGCCTGTTTGTTTTGCCTTGTCTTCGATGCACTATTTTGTCCCCTGCTGCTGCCCGACGGACAGGATTTGTACACTTTCGCCAGGCTTCGAGATATCATCACTGAGTTGGCAATACACTCCTTATCAAAATATCATGAACCAGTCGTCTCGAAAGTGTGCCTTGATATCTGCATGTTAGCAAGACTTGCCCTTGCCAAAGTCGACACTCCTCTAGCTCAGACCCTCCGAAGAAGCTACGATAATGGAAAGATGAGATGAACAAGACTTCAGACTCAAGAATAGCCAGTATTCGCTTGCGACCAGTGCTCTAGACACGGGAGATTGCAATGTCTAAAGATTCTAAGTATCTTCATCTATCGACTATCCGAATCCCTTCCTCTCTGTCAAGTTCTTCTACCTGTGAGGCTGCTGACACGCGATAAACCAGACTACCAGTGTTTGATACTCCAGACAGACCGATAGAGACGATATCCAGACCGATCTACGTACCACCGACTACAGCTATGACGTTGCACCACAGAACACTTGCATACGGGATACTCTTGAAGACGGCTTGACATCGTCTTCATATGCATGTCGAATTCACGGAAACACTGCACGGCAATTGACTTGAAATAAAGTGGTATACGTAGTAGAGAAACACAGAAGGCCTGTTCTGACCAGGCCCAGGCAGCTAAGACTTGCTCCAGTCTTTGCATTCCCCTATTCCACATCATCAATGCCTCGGAATTCAAAGTATCTGTTCCATTCAGGGTCCTCCAACAAACCCTTGGTGAGTTCCTTCTCGAAGCTGATTACAATCTCGTTCCCCTCATCCTCTCCTGCGGGAGCACGAATGGTTCGCGTCGGGTAAATGATGATGATTCCATTCGTTGGCATATCAAACGGGTGACGGAAACCGCACGGCTTGGCAAAGCCAAAGTCGGCATCATACGGCTTGGATTCGCGCCAATCTGTCGTGAAATTACTCAAGGGTGGAAAGCTATCGGTGCGCAGAAATAGTGCGGTCTTGTCCCGGATCGCAGCAATCTGGGTCAATACAGCGCTGAGATTCTCCTGCGTAGCGCTATTGGTAAGTTGGCGATTATACCTGGCAAGTCGTCAGCCTGGGGGAAAGAATGGGTAAAAGAAAAACGGTCCTGCCATTTGACTCTCCTGGAAAGTACGTCTGTATTTCCAAATACATCGAGGAAGGGACAAAAATCAGCAAGGTCGACTTACCAGGCCAACTTGGACAAGGGGGCCTCCGATATGACCTCGGCCGCCGTCAGTTGCGGAACTGGACTTGTTATACTCAATGGTGTGCCGACGATGTTTCCTTGAATGCGCTTTGCGACAGGAGGATCGTGGAGGCGAGTCCGCATGTTCACGGCTTCGCCCCACAGTGGACTTTTGGAGAGATCAGGCTTGAACAGCTTGGCTCTGTGCTTCGAAATAATACGCCAGATATACGCGAGGTAGGCATCATAGGATGAAATCCAGTAACTTTTATCCTGGGGACTTGCCAAGCTTTTCAGCTCAGCTGCTTTGCTTTTGGGCAGATGAAAAATCACCCACTGACCAGGCACATGGTCTGGGTGTTTTTCCGGGGTTATTGGACCTTCGAAGAGCTGTTCTGGAGTTGGTTTACTGACGGCTGAATAGTCCAGACAGGCCAAATCCCAAGGAGGATAGTCCGGACTTTCGGGCGATTTCCAGACGGCAGCGCAGTTTTCGGCCAGCTGATACATACAGGCCGCCCAGCCGTTGATATCGTTGCAGTAATGGTGACTGTGCATCATGAGCACCATACCGCCGCGGATGAAATTGATCTTGAAACCAGATGTTTTGGGATTATTCTTTGGTTCAGCTTCCGGCTTTTCGCCATAAGTCATAGCCGCAACGCTCCAGGTTTCTAGGGCACCGAGAGCCCGGCCGCTGAAGTGACACTTCTCCAGATCATCAAAGGTGGGGTACTTGCCCTCGTCATCGGGACAGTCCAGCCACTGCACATGAAGCTCGACGCTGCTTTCTTTCTTCTTGTGGAAGCAGAGACCTCCATCAGGATGCTCTTCGAGATGACCGCATAGCTGGCGACACTGGCTCAGAGTCACCTCTAACCCGCGCCTGATAGTGTCGACGACGGTGTTGCGGTTTATTGATTCTGGCAGCTTGAAGAACAGCGCAAAGTTGAGGTAAACCTGAGCAACACAATAGTCAAGAGGAGCCAACTTGAGGAACTCGTCAGCGGGGTCCGTTTCCCATCCTCGGGGAAGAATTTCGATAACGTCTTGCTTAGGCATTTTCTTCTTCTTTTGAAATCAAACAGACATCAAGGCGCAGAAGAACGCTTAACACGTCGGGAAAGGATCCCATATTCTCAAACCTTTCCGCGGGATATAAATTTCTCTGGGGAAGCCTGAGAGGCTGAGACCAGGTCAGGCTGGCATTAGCATCACCTCACAGATCCCGGAATATACCCTGGCCGGCAGACCAATCCACTGTGGAGGCATCAAGTCTCCAGTATCCGGGACACGTACTGGTGGTTACCGCATCGAGAAGAATAAACAGGTTGGGCAGTACTTTGCGGGTGTCTGCAGTAGATATGCTGCAAGTCAGCCGCCTTGTTCTTGGGAAGTGGCGATCTCATTGGTTGATACTATGTCGAAGCTCATTAAGGTATGTTCAATATTCGTTGGATTGGCCAGCAATACTACCCCGTAAGTGATGTAAGGCTCCCACTATATACAGTCATGGTGTGGGTCGCACCAGCCACCTTATTCCAACATTGATATTGATCATCAATAATTGTGTCCCAATCCGCAAGCACAGATGATGTCTTGGAGAACACACACACCCCCCAGTCCGGGTGCAGTGCCGAGGTGACTAGCTATCATTCATGGGCTATTTTGTTAGATATTGGCCGTTGCGGTGCTCGTTCATGTTCCGCTTCAAAGACAATAACTTGGTACGTCTTGTAGTTGCAGAAATATTCAGATCCCGTTACATGAGGTGAACATGTCGGTGTGGGTTTGATTTCAACAGATTGTAGGAGCAGATTGCGGGGTAAGTGATTGGTTGAATAGCTCCCAACATTCAAGATGCATCAGTATTATTCGCGCATAGTATACCGATAGTATACAAACAGATGCCTAGCAACAAAGTATATAGCGACGAAATATGATTCATTGGGCCTTTCGGAGCTGGAAGTAACAGCGAACCCTTGCGGAGCGGTGCATTTAATGCCTGCGGTCGTGTTACTTGTGACTGGCTACAGTTTCGCGCACTCTTAAAACGACTATTAATGGAGATTCGCTGCCCCATCACCATAGTTTGGAAGCTCTATATTTAAACATTTGCACCATAGCCCCTCAAGAGCACAACAATGAACCATCTGTTGTCATATCTAATACATTGTGCACGTAATATACTTGTTGATTATGCCATTAGAACACAACCATCACCTCGAGGGTCACTTCCGCCACTGTATACAACCTGGGCCGTCTCTTCGTCAACGTGTCTTCGAATCACCTGGCCACGACCAAACCAGAATCGATTCCAGCCCTCCATCTTCTTGACGCGATGTCCCATTTCCTCCAGTGCTGAAATGACGGTATCGTCTATCCCTTCTTCGAAGAAGATGGTTGAGAGCGTTGGATCTTCAGCACCTGGTGGCCCAGCCGCAATGCATATCCTCGGCGCATCCAAAGCTTGTTGCGGGTTCATGCCAAAGACCTCCATGTTCAGCAAAACCTGAACATGGCCTTGTGGTTGCATTAAACCTCCCATGACACCGTAAACTGAGTGCAACTGACGATTGTCTCCAACGCCGTGGGTTACCAGGCCTGGAATGATGGTATGATATGGCCGCTTTGCTGGAGCGTAGACATTTGGGTGATGCTCGGGCTCGAGCACAAACCCAGAGCCCCTGTTTTGAAGGGTAAAGCCGCAGCCCTTTGGAATTATACAGGATCCAAACTCTCGAAAGTTGGAGTTGATAAAGCTCATGGCGTTTCCATCTCGATCAGTCACAGCAAAATAAACCGTGTCGCTATGATTTTGCGCTGGACTGGACCCCAGGTCGCCCCTGGAGAATATCCCGGCCTTGGTCTTGTCAAAGAGTTTGGCACGTTGTGCTAGGTAAAGACGCGACGTCATATCTTCGGCCGAGACGCCACTCAAGTCGGGATCAGTCACCCACCAGTTGGCATCTGCGAAGGCGATCCTCAAGACTTCGATAATAGCGTGCAGATAGGCGGGACTGTTGTGGTCCTCGGGGCGAAAAGCTGGCACGTCGCCCCCCGCCTCCAGCTCCTCGAGGATTCCCAGAGCCATCAAGGCGACGATTCCTTGTCCATTGGGCGGATGCTCCCAAATCTCGACGAAATGATCGTCCAATAAGTCGCCTGACAGTTTCTTTGAAGCATTCTTCTTCACATTCTGGCCGCGAAATCGCAACGAAATGGGTTGCGTCTCGCTGGTCCCGCGGACCATGTGTTCTTGGAGATCAGATAACTCCATTCGACTGCCCTTTTCCCTGAGAGTTTCGATAATTGCATGTGAGATATCTCCAGAATAGAAACCGTGTTTCCCTTCTTTTGCCAGCTTCCTGAATATATTGGCAAGAGCTGGGTTTCGAAAGATTTCTCCAGCACGCGGCGCACGACATCCGTCTTCAGCTGCAGCATCCGGCTTCAGCATCTCACGGAAATTAGGCGATGCCATTTTTAGTTTCTTCTCTGCATTCCGCCACTGGAATTCGATCGAGTTAGCCATATAAAGGGGACAAGTGCAACTTCAACATCGTCGTGAGCAACAACGAGGGGCCGCCTTACCATACTTGCTGAGAACTCGCTTACGGGAAATCCTCGTTCGCCCATCTCAATAGCTGGCATGAGGATCTGTTCCAAAGTCAACTTGCCACTACCAAAGGCCTCAACAGCATCGACCCAGCCAGCAGCAGCACCTGGAACAGTGACGGAGAGAGCACTGTTGATGGGGATTCTGCCATTGCCCTCGCCGACCTCTTTCTTGACTTGCTCAAGCGTTGCACCTGCAGGACTGCGTCCGGAGCCATTAAGAGCGTGTACTCTCTTGGTCGTGTTATCGAAGTAGAGACAGAACATGTCACCTCCGATTCCCGTAGAGGCAGGCTCCGTCATATTCATGGCAGCAGCTAGATAGAATACGATAGATCAGTCTCTTGACAGGCGTGCGCATTGTTGAGAGATAGGCAGAGAGCTCCTGTCATACCCACGGCCACGGCGGCATCCTATGATTTTAAAGACTGCGAGTTAGAAAGTCAATTATTCCCATGCATTTGGATTCAGGATTGTAAACACAGAGCCAACATACAGCAGCATTGCCTCCCATCTTCAAGACCCTTTGCCCGACCTCTGCAGCGAGTGGTTGTGTACATGCAACAAGACCATTTGTGCCATGGACCACGCTCCTCCGACTTGGATATCGCACATAGTGGTTGTTGTCATCAGGGAAAATGGCCCTGGCAGTGTATTCAGCCATAGTGGAACAAGGAAGGTCTCTGTCTAGTTCAAACTTCAAATCGTACACCTCAGAATCCCACAATACAAAAAGTGCAGCCAGGGTATATATCCGAGCAGTATATATCTTTGTTGCACCTCGATGCGACTGGCAGCTAATTAAGGTTAGGTGCTAGGTTAGGTAGGCTACTACATTACTGGTGTAGGTGCAAGACACCCCTGCGCAAACCTAATCCTGACAATTCCGGGGACGCCCATCAATGATAGATAAGAACCCACTCGGCGTTCTCGGTGTTGTCGGCACACGGCGTCCCTATCATATCTCGATAGCAATTAGAGCCAATCGACATGACTGGAGATTGACAGAAGGACTCCGTGTGTGGTATCTACTTGCATAGTATGAGAGCTCGGACGTCAGAGTCTGGTTTTCCAACATGCCCACACATGGTGTGCGGGATAGTTGCGGTTGGCCTGGACTACCTGCACTTTTCTCGTGGGGTATTGAGGATGTCTAGGTACCTAGGTGTGCAACCTTGACATCAACATCGTCTCTTTGACGTTGACTTGCCTCTGCGCGTATGGTGCAATCATCGGCATGGCTTGTTCGGGTTCTACCTTCAAAACTGCCTGTTGGACATGTCGTGAGCGCAAGGTCAAGTGCGAAAAGGTCTTGCCCTGTGACAATTGCGTGTCGGCTGGAGTCTCTTGTTCATTTCCACCCCAATTCCGTACTGTCCGTCGCCCAAAGACAAAGCAACAACCTCCCATTCAAAGAGAGAGCGATCTCCTTGAGAAGATCCGTCACTTGGAATCATGCCTCAAAAAGCAAAGGCGGCAGCAGCAGCAGCAGCAGCAGCATCCACATTTCGATTTGAACCTCAACAGCGCCAGCCCTTCGATGAGCTTCACCAACGGCGAGCCTTTGGCCGAAATGAGCGACGAAATCATGGGCTTTGCCACCACTGCCAATACTGATTGCAATAGCGGGTCTGGGCGGATGGCGCACATGAAGCCTAATCACAGTGGGCCTGATGATGCTGTAAATGCTACGGCGAACGCGCGCTTCGGCACATTCATGCACAACACTATCACGAGCGGCACATCGCCAAGTGAGAGCATTTCGACCTCCCAGCAGGATATCCAGGGACCGCAGTCTGTTATGGAGGAAGATGATCACGATGGACTATTTTCAGTAGGCAAATCTTATGCCGAGTTCCCATTCAAACCAGCGCAGTGCAAAGGCAAAGCGCCGCCACTGCTGCCCATACAGCACCGGCGCATCTGCTGGCGTAGATATGTCGCCAACGTGGATCCGATTGTCAAGATATTGCACAAGCCGACTGCAGAGACCCTTGTTACCACCGAGACACCGCATTGTCTTGATTTTAGTCATGCTGTCGTGGCTCTCATCCACGCGATTTGTCTCATCGCTGTCGTGTCAATGTCCCAGGCAGATGTGTTGGCGCAATTAGATATGGAAAAGGAAGAGCTGTTGAAAGTCTGTGCATCATATACAGAACAAGCACTCATGGCAGCAGATTTCTTGGCTGCCAAAGACCTGAGGACCCTTCAAGCACTTTTGCTGTTCCTTTACTATTTAAAGCACATGGATGACACAAGATTCGACTCAATGTGTGCCGTGGCGATATCATTGGCTAGGAAGCTAGGACTGAACCGCGATGGAACGACCATGGGTCTGTCTCGTCTCGAGCTAGAGTCCCGCCGGCGGCTATGGTGGCAGTTGCTCAATCTGGCTGATCAGCCCGACGACATTGGTATGGATCGTTTCGCCCCCAGCATTGGAGCCGATACCGCCCTTCCCTCCAACATGAATGACAACGAGCTCGAGTTTCAGTACGACGGAGACAAAGAGTGTTCCAGCAGATTCACCGAATTGAGCTTCTGCCTCATTCAGTACGAAATCACCAGGACGTTTGGCGATATCAAATGCGCACACGCACAAAGTCCTGACCGGAATGAGGCAGCCATCAATGAGGCAGAGAAACGACTGAAGCTATCTCAGCAGATGATCAAGTCCCGGTACTTGTGCAATGGAGTTGATGAACATCCACTGGGCCGCTTCGCCGCCGACGTGGCTTCCATGGCTCTGGCCAAGCGGCGTCTGTTAGTGCATATGGGTCAAGGAAGTCCTCCACCGCCCAGGACATACGATCAGCTGTTCCTGCTCGCCGTTCGAGTCTTGGAGCTCTGGAGAGGCATCCAGAATAGCAAACATCTACAACAGTGGCGCTGGCTCAGCTCCTCTTATGCCCAGTGGTCCGTGGCCACGTTTGTAGTCAAGAGCCTGGCGATTCGACCGCTTAGCTTCGAGACCAGACGGGCCTGGCATGTGGTTGATGGACTCCTTGACCAATACCCAATCATGACGCGCAACTCTGCTAGATTCTCTGCATTGCAACACTTGCTGGTGGACGCGGAGAAGAGCAGGGATGCAGCCAATCTGTGGCAGCTTCGGCTGTCATGGGGCGCAGACCATGTGCTTGGCGATCCATTTGCCAGTAGTGGGTTGGATGATTTCACCACGGTTGGCCAAGTTTTCGAGAGGATTACTGACTCTGAGCAGCCAGAATCTAGTGATCAAGTAAATATTTAAGACTGTTTACTTGTGGACAAGTTGCGATACAAGCTTGTTATTGCTGCTATGCCATACACCGAGAGACTTGTCGTGTCTTTTGGGGTGTATCCTCATTCATGATCATCATATCAATTGAACATTATTTCACAAAGCAAAGTTCTCCAAACAAATTGAAAACAATTGTTAACTAAAATCCTTTACCGCTATGTCTAAATTATAAATTGTAAATTGCACATCACTTCCATCTCTTAGTAGCCTTTGATGTTCTCGGCCCCTATTGATGTAGGCAGTCCAAGACACCTGTGTAGAACACTTTGTCCATTGAGAGTTTGAAAACGAAGAATGAACACCTGATGAAGCTGATCATTACCTTATATTGAGATTATTCAGATATCCTGAGGTGCTTTTTTTTTTTTTTCAAGCTTCATTGCAAGAGGGGCGGCGGTGAGGACGAGTATCTTATCTATCCCGGGACTCTCGGTGTTCTCGGTTAAGGGCTCTGTCGAGGTCGAATGTAGACTCGGCCAGAAAGCAACACGAATCTGGCGAACCCGCAAGTAGCTTTCATTACTCATTGCCGTGAATTGACCATGATGTTTTTTTTTTTTTTTTTTTTTTTTTTTGGGTCATGTCAGATTCACATTCTGAGGGTCAAGTGCTTTCTTACGTACTTGAATACTATATTTTCTTTCTGATCTTCCTGTCACTCTCGATCAGGAACACCTAATGGTCACAAAGTTCATTCATGTGTAATCAAATATCACGATTTGTCTCTCTGGCTAAGGAACAATTCAATTCAGACATGGCGTCACATGGCCCATTCATCAACGGTTCTTCATCCACCCAGTCCCTTGGTTTGGACGCTCACAGATTCTTCAACGAGATGACGTTTGGATTAGTGGGGATCTTTATCCTCATTATTGGTGCTGGTGTATTGTTACCGAAAAGTGTGCGGCTCCCAGACGTGGAATTTCTTCGCATCAGCAATAAACCAGGGGGTAAAGCCGGTGATGCCGATGATATACAAGCATTCTTGAGTGATAGTTTGAGTGCAATAATGAAAGGCTATAACGAGGTATTGTAGATCCCCTCATCAAATAGTCCGACAAACCTTCCGCTACATTTCTTGGTGTCCATATTCAAGTCTCATACTTATGCTAACCATTGGGCCATGAATGCAAGTATTCAAAGAAGGGCAAACACTTCCTGCTGAGGACACCCAAGCAGGTATACCTGATCGCAGCGACCAATTTCCTCGACGAGATCCGCAAGGCTCCCGAAACACACCTTAGCCAACCAGCCGCAGCAGAGATCATATTCCAGACAAGGCACACATTCCATCCTACCCTAGTACATGACACGTACCACTTCAATGTGGTCAAGACAAAAGTCACCTCGGCGCTAGCGTACAATATTCCCGATCTAGTACATGAAAGTCGATATGCCTTCAGCGTCGAGTTGGGTGGCAAGTCACACGACTGGAAGGCATTACGAATGTATCCTCTGGCAACCAAGATCATCACGCGTATATCCAACAGGATGCTTGTCGGGCCGCAGCTCTGCAGGAATGATGAATTTCTACACTACTCTGGAGACTACACGCGAACCACTTTCAACACGGCAACTGTCCTTCGAAATTATCCCGAGTTCGTGAAAAGCAGTCTCATGTATTTTATGTCGGATTGCAACAAGCAGCAACAGACGGCACGCAAATTTCTTGTACCGATGATCAAGGAGCGGCTGGAGATTATGGCGAAAAGTAAAAATTCCAAAGATACTTGCGAGAAACCAGAAGATGCGTGTAAGTCATGAAAAATACCAGCGAAAAGTGCATTCGCGAGGTAACTTTTGCGCGCTCTGCTAATATAATAACTGATAGTACAATGGCTCCTGGATATCACACCCGAGGAAAAGCGAGATCCTGAAATCCTAACTCAGCGCATGATTCAAATCAATGTCACGGCTATCCATGCTCCGGCAGTCACGCTTGTAGAGTGCGTATTCGACTTGTCTCGGCATCCAGAAATCCAAGAGGAGCTTCGTGCAGAGATGGCCGCAGTGCTCGGAGATAAACCGGTTGGCACCCAAGTTTGGAAGAAGGCAAGCATTGATAACCTGGTCAAATTGGACAGTTTCATTCGTGAGTCTGCGCGTCTGACGCCTATGAGCGCTGGTAAGTATACATTGTCCCTCCTATCTCAGGCGGGGTTTATGAAGCAAGGCTAGCAACTGACATGAACATTTGTGATCTGGCAGTCAAGCTAGAACGTCTTGCAGTCAAGGATTACCAGCTGAGTGACGGTACTCTTATTCCCCGAGGAACCTCGGTCGGAGTCATTGCCCATGGGCGGCACATTGATGAGGATTTTCTTGAGAATGCCACTCAATTCGATGCCTTTCGGTATGCCCGTATGCGCAGTTCACCCGAAACGGCCATGCAGTACACCTTTTCCCAGACCAGCCCGGATAATCTCCTGTTTGGTTTCGGCCGGCATGCCTGCCCAGGTCGCCATTTTGCGTCCGCCTTGATCAAAATTTGTCTCGTCCAGATTCTGGTCCAACACGATATCAGATTCGTCGACGGCAAGCCTGACCCATGTGGTCAGTGGACACAAAAGTTTCGCAATCCAGATGTTGAAGCATCCGTCTGTTTTAAACTCCGAGAAACTGAGTCACGTTTTAGAAGCATGTTTGACTAAGAAATAAAACCTCTCTTGTTATTAGACGGAAGAATGCGTTGGTGGGTAGTGTTTAATCTGCATTCAAGTCAAGAAATTCCTTGGACATGAGCACATTAGGGACTGTATTTGTATTAGTGTTGCGATACGCCACGGAAAGATGAATAAAGAACAACTATCTACTTCTACGAGAATGTTGAACCGTAAGTTGGCTTTCGAGGGCTTCGAATATAGCGGGCAGAATACAAGGGTTTAGCAAGAATTACAAATGGGAAGAGCCAGGGAAGCAAGCGTTTGAACATGCGCTATTACCGTCAAGTCTACATACACGTGAACATTACAGGGTCTTGCTCAGAAGTTCTTGTCAGTTATACTGGTCAGGGACATACTATTTGTTCGCAGGGTGATTTTAACTGTAGGCGCTCTTCAGCCAGCTATCTAGCTGGCGATGAAACTGATTCCTGTCGGGAGAACAGCAACAATCTCTATTGACTCGCAGCTAGCTCAATTGATGTATTCACTGGCGTCAATGTATAGCCCCTACCCCTGAGAAAGCAGGGTGAATACTGTCAAAATGTAGAAATAAGTGGAGCGCTTCTCCACACATGTATATATCTTTGACCATCCGACCTCTGTTGGATATGAACAACTCAATCAATACATCAACTATTACCCATACCTATCATATCTTTTCACAAATACAGTGTCCCCGGCGTCCCTCTAAGGCATCATCGCGGTGTTCTCGGCCTATATCTAGCCAGTGGTGGTACTGATAACGGCTGACGCTTCCACCTCGATTTTGAAATCCGGGTGTGCTAGTGAAGCTACCCCAATAAGGCTACTTGGCGGGGCGTGCTGTTGCTCCTGCTGACCATTGCTTTCACGAGTTCGAAAGAAGTCAGTTATCACTTCTACAAGAACGTCCCTCATGGAGAGCTCAAGGTCCACCACAAAGATGGTTATCTTTACAACATCATTTGGTGTTGCGCCGCCAGTCGCGAGGCACGCTGCGAGGTTGGCGAATGCGTTCCGAGCTTGCTGGGTAAAGGATGACGGCAACTCGTTGTATGGTGAGTCCGGTGAGGGAAGGCCAACCTGCCCTGCCGTGTGAATGAGTCGAATGGCTAGTTTGTCCAAAGGGAATGATACGATGGACAGATCTGAGAAAGTAGGTGATAGACCTTTCGCATCTGCTCGGTTGGCCGTTTGAAGTATTGAGTTGGCTGCCATGTTGATAATATTCACGAATCGCGTTTCTTGATTATGTGTCGTAGGTAAAACAACTCAGTCTTGGTAGAATTCAATAGATCTTGCGGATTGCTATCTTGCGCACATGGAAAGTCATCTACCCTTCTGAGTCTTTGATGTTATAAGGGTATATCAATTCTAAAACTAATCATAATAACCATAATAACACTAATAATAAGAAATTAGAAGAAAAAGAATTAGTGACTACTCCAACCTTCTCGGAGTTGAATAATAAAACTGAAACATAGTCCGTTCGGGCCGAGGTCGCTATCTGCGGCGAAAAGAGTAGATTGGCGATTCTGGCGATAAGTTCAGGACCCCCACCCACAGTATACCCCAGGCTATCGCCAGTTTGCACCTAAAGTATCCAACCCAGTGGCACTATAGCGCCGGATCGCGCCATTCCTTCTTGAGTATAGATGGAAATATTCCATCATGACCCATCTCTTATCTGCAGCAATCATTTGCCTTGACTATCACCAGGGTAATTTCACCAAGCATTCAGCCTTGCTCCGAGGCTGCCTCCACATCGAGGGTGAACGTTATCAGGTCTTTTTATACGTGCTTCCTCGATATAAAATGTCACGACATGCAGCAAAATTTCAAGGCAACACGAACCTCGACGATCAATTCTCCATTTCTTTGCAATCATGACTTCCGAAAAGTCTCACGAGACAAAGTCGGCTGAGACACGACGCAACTCCGTCACGGCTGGTGATGTCGTCGATATAGAAGACTCGGTCAACAGAGACTTCTATGGAAAGTCCATCTCCGATTCGTACCGTCTCAAGTCGGAGCTCGTCGGCAAGTGCATGTCGAAGATCGGCTTTGGTCGTTTCCAATGGATCCTATTTATAGTTGCAGGCTTTGGCGGCATGATTGACAACTTGTAGGTCGCTGCTCCGCCATGTTCATCCATATTTGTTCTTTCGACGACTAACGGGTCTATTGTCTAGTTGGTCTCAAGGGATCGGTACAGTCCAGCCGGCTGTTCGTCTCGAGTTTCAGGACATGACACGAGTGACCTTGAGCTCCATAGCCTTTTACGCTGGGCTTATTTTCGGGTCGTCGTTCTGGGGTATCTCTGCCGACTTCATCGGACGTAAGCCTGCTTTTAATATGACGCTCTTGATTGGCGGTGTCTTTGCCCTGGGCGCCGGTGCATCCAACTCTTTCCTGACGTTCTGCATTATGTGGGCTTTCATTGGAACAGCAGCTGGCGGCAATGTTCCTGTTGACAATATGATATTTTTGGAGTTTATTCCCGAATCCCACCAGTACTTACTCACAGCTCTCTCTGTCTGGTGGATTTTTGGGCAGCTGGTTGTATCCTTGATTGGCTGGGGTTTCATTGCAAATTTCACCTGCCCATCCAACACAACAACAGGCACTTGTTTAAGGGAGGACAACATGGGTTGGTATGTAGTCATATTACGAGCTTTCCCTGGAGGACTGATACTGATGAACTAGCAGGCGATACGTCATGTTCACTCTAGGTTCGATTACTGTCGCCGCTGCTCTGCTGCGCATATTTGTATTCCGAATGCCCGAGTCACCTCGCTACCTTCTCGCCAAGAACCGCGACGCCGAGGCTGTCGAGGCTGTTAATTTCATTGCTCGGTTCAACGGAAAGACTGAGCCCCTAACGATTGCCATGTTGCAGCAAATTGACATTGATCTGGGTCTGGCTGCCGTTGCCGAAGATGCCAGGCCTCGACGCCTGTCCAAAATGCAGATTCTCAAGGAAAACCTTGCCGACTACAAATCAACAAATTTCAAGAGGCTTTTTGCGACTCCTAGACTTGTGCGGCATACGTCAATGATTTGGTTCATCTGGCTGACAATCGGAATTGCATATCCTCTCTATTTCAACTTCCTTCCAACGTACCTTTCCCAGTTATTCGTTGATGACTACTCACTTGATGCAACATATCGAAGTTATTGCATTCAATCGGCGGTTGGAATGGTAGGGCCGATTGTGGCCGCTTTCTTGATCCAAACTTTCCTTGGGCGTCGATATGTCATGGGTATTTCGTCTGTTGCTACCGGTATCTTTCTTTTCGCGTATACCACGGCTAGAAGTAGTGCGGCGAGCCTCGGATTCTCCTCGATTCTCGGCATGGTCGGAAATCTTGGTAAGTTTATTTCCTTGGTAGTAGAAACGAGCACATGATTTGGCTCAGCTGACCATGGTCGTCCAGAATATGCGGTCTTATTCGCTTACACACCCGAGTCCTTTCCTGCGCCCAATCGGGGTCTAGCATCCGGCTTTGCTTCAGCCCTCCTCCGCTTTGGTGGTCTCTGTGCCTCTTTGATTGGAACGTACACCGACTTCAGTGTGGTCCCCATCTATGTGGCGGCTTCACTCTGGATTTGCGTTGGGTTGGCTTCATTCTTCCTACCTTTTGAGACCCACCACCATGCTGCTGTCTAACATATTTTCGCTCAGCATCTTCTTCTCCCAGGTTCCACCTCAGCGCATAATGCGGAGTCATCTCAGTAAGCCAAGGGCACTGGTGATCGGACGGCAGATATTAGGATGTCATAGCATCAAGTTTGGATTAGCAGCTCAATTGGTCTATCATTTAGTGTGACTTCCTTTGTCAGATTGTTGTAGTTACGTACTTGCTACCTATAATAGACACTGGGGGACGCCGCGGCTCGTATTGTATCAATAGTTATTCCGAAATTTCCAGTTGACCAGGATATCCCACCCTATACAAACCAAGATTTTCGAGCATTGATCTGTCTGTCAAAGCAAAGAGATAGCAATCGCCATCCTCTCCACAGATGTGTTCGACCTACGACCAAGCGGGGACGACAAATACATCATTATCACTCCACTCGATGACTTCCGCTCCGGTAGGTGTTGAAATCTTGGTAGATCCCCGACCACTCTGGACCACATAGATCTTTGATACTGTCTCTCGAAGCGGAGAAGTAGATGAGCCAGCACCGAAGCGCTCGGCTTGTGCGGCAATGGTGCATGAAAAGGCGCTACCATTAATGCGATAATGAAATACCGCGTACGATCCTCGTTGAGAGTCCAATTCCATCTTGACGTCTTTCCACGAAAAGTGAAACGGACTACCCTGCGTCAATCTAATGGTATTCAGTCAGCAAGGTTGTCCTATTTTCAAGACGCGAGAGCCATGCAAAAGCCAGCTGGTGCAGTTCTTCAAAACCATTACAACGGACAAAAGACATGAGGGCGACTATTGCTTACAGATCTGGCACCTTGGCGGTTGGGTACAGCTCAAGAAAATTGACTTTGGCGAACATGTGCATCGGCATGTCCAGGCAGTCAACCCAGAATGTCGGTCCGTTGCCGTCGTTGCCATGGTAGTGCCACTGCCAGGACGGCGTCAACACCAGATCCCCGGGCTGCAGGTACATTTTGTGCCCGGCAACGGAAGTAAAGCCTTGGCTGCTCTCCAGGACGAACCTCACGGCATAGGCCATGTGTCTGTGCGCAGGAGCCGTCTCTCCGGGCAAGACCAGCTGGAACCCAGCGTACAGGGTGTCGGTAGTATACGGCGAGGCGCCGCTGTGTGTGGCTTGATGCGTCACGGGTCTCAGCGGTATGTTTTGTCAAGATCATGTGAGGCAATCTTTAGCACTTACGGATACCAGGGTTGACCATCATCAATGCTCGTCGCTCTGCCATCTCCTCGGGCACAATCGAGCCTGCCTCAAGCATTAGATTCCTCATTTGGGACCATTTCCATTGTGTCGGCAGAGCCCGCGGGTTGGGTTGTAGTTTGGAGACTTTATCCGTGACAGTCCACATGGGGTATGAATTGCTCTCTTTACAGCGTTCCATGACCTTTGCTGTAGCCTGTTCGACGGCAGTCTGTGCTTCTTTAGTGGGAGACATGTTCGCATATGTGATACCCAGTTTTTCTCTATCTCTCTTTTCCTCTCTCTGTTTTTCTCCTTCTTTGCTCTCTTCCTTCAGTCTGGTTGGTAGTCGTGGGGATGGATGACAGTCAAAAGAATATACAACGATGGTCTCGATAAACTCCAATGGTCCACTCTGAGAGATCGAAACGATGATAACGTGATTACCGATCAGAAGGTGAAATAGGTGGAAAATCTGTTTGAATTAGTTGATAACAATTTACAATGTGAAATCTAGGTGTCCTAGAATGGCTCCGAGGTAGACACAAAACCACATACCACGAGGGTTGATTCGGGCTTCTCGGGCCTTAGAGTCTTCGGACCCATGTCCATCTCCACCACGGCGTTGTCGGCATTCGGGGAGTGGCCGGTCCGGACAGCGCCCCGAAAAACAACTTTGAAATGCTGGATACTTCCCGCCGCTATTGAACTGTGCGGCGAGCGATAGTGGGCAAATCTGATAAGCTAGAGCTAAGTCACATCCCACCACCCATACAGCGCTATGCTTGACGGGTACGTGCAGGCACGCCTGCGTGTAGGCAACAAAATACTCTTGTTCATATAACTGCCGTGGAGAGCTGTTTGGAAAGCCGATTTCGTCACAAGGTATGCCGATCTTGGTACGGTTGAAGGAAATATAACTTGCCCAATAGAAAAATGGCTGGAAAACCAAATGTTCTCATCATTGGCGCTGTTAAGACGTCCCGAGTTCAGAGCCATCTGCAGAGCAGCTTACCAACTTAACAGGCATTACTGGCTTGTCTTTGGCACATGGCTTGACCAAAGTGAGTTCACCAATATAGAGGCAATTCCATTCACTACTTGCACTAGAGAAGTACTCACAGCTTCTGCTTCGTAGGCTGGAATTTTATTCGAGATCTTCGAGAAACATGGGTCCGAAGGACGTCCGCGCGATTGGGGTGTTACAGCACACTGGGCGATCAAGTTTCTTGATCTCTATCCTGATGGAATGGAGACCCGCTTGCAGGACGCGCAAGTGATAGCCAACAAGGATCCCAAACAGCAGGAGCATGTGTTATTTCACGATGGCCAGACCGGAGAGAGTATCAAGACGATTCCTTTGGGCCCCGCCCGACGGTATAGCCAGCGAAAAATCAGACAGGCTCTTGTGAATGGTTTGGAGGAGGTGATACAGGTATGGGTGATTTGAGGGGTCCCACGAAGTGCCTCAACTGACTGATGATTAGTATCACAAAGCTCTGCAGGAGATTCGTGTTTTGTCAGACGGAGTAGAGGTGTCGTTCGCGGATGGCACCTCCGCAAGCGGATCAATTGTCGTGGCATGTGATGGAAGTCAATCCGACACCAGACAACATCTCTTCGAAGAAAAAGAGGACGCGCTATGGAAACCCATTCCAGGGTTTGTTTTGAATAACTTCTGGATGCAATATACCAGAGAACAGGCTCTGGAGGTGAAGTCGCAACTGAGTCATTTCATGGATATTGCTGTCCATCCCAACGGCACCTACTATGGCCTTATCCGTAAGTCTGGCATTGGCAGCTCCTTTGCTTCTTTTCGTTACCTTCTTTTACTTTTCTTTTTTTTGGTTGACCTGGCATGATTGAATACTAAGATTGAATACTAACCATCTCATAGCTCTCGACATATCGGATATGGACAAGCCGGAGACATGGAAGTTCCAAATCTTCATGGCCTTTGCGTCCGATCTCAAGCCAGAGGAAGACGCCCCGGAGAAGAGATTTGAGCTCGTGAAAGAGGCAGGCAAAGCATTTGTCAACCCGTTCAGTCTGGGTATTGAATACATGCCAGAGGGTACTTATATCAATCCTGACAGATACGGTATCTGGGAGACCAAACAGTGGGATCATAAAGGAGGCAGAGTCATCTTGGCAGGTGACGCTGCCCACGCAATGACAGCGCGTAAGTTGCTCAAACTCGTCGTCTTCATCATTCTTTTGACTAATATCATAATCAGATCGTGCTCAAGGTTTGAATCATGCCCTGCAAGACGTTTTGAACATTGTTTCTGGCATGAAAGACGTTCAGAATGAACGGATGCGCTTGGAGGATTTTGTGAAAACCTACGTGGATGAAGTCGTGGAACGTGGGTCCAATGAAGTGCGCATGTCTCGTGCACAGGGCATGGCAGTGCACAATTGGGGGAAAAGTAAAGACATGCCAATTTTAAAAATTGGGACTACACCACTGCATATGGAACGGTCCGTTGTTCCCTTGCCGTCATCATAGAGCACGCTCACTGCAGGGAGGCCGCACATTGGTGGCGCAAAATCTTTGTAGTGGCAAAGAAGACTATAATGGCATCACGGCATCTGCACCGAAAGGGTGGCACCGGTCTGATCGAAAATCATTTCCCCCCTTCTTCTCCCTCTTTCATAGAATTGTGGGAGTAGCTCAAAACGTCGACGATTCACCTGACCGGTTCAGTGTGATGGCGACGCCCTGCTACGTCGTCCCCGACTATCTTATCGGTCGAAGGCTGAAAGTTACAAGCTACCTAGATAAGACATGCAGCTGGAAGTGTTGTAATAATATCATATATTTGCTTCTTTCTTCTTAGCGCTGACTGTGTTTCACGTGAGATCCTGATGAGCAGCCACTTCTTATGAAATTCTCCATATATCGGCCGATTCATCAATGGTTACTGATGTCGAATATTGCTGCATGTAATATATCATAGATGACGAGTCACCGCCTGACTAAAGGCTGATCAAATGTACAACACGACAATGAGTGAGCAGGATGCGATGCAACGTATTGGCACTCAGATCGCTTATATGACGTGAGGGCAAGTCAGGGTAGTAGGGGGGCTTAGCAGAGGTCTTTTCAGTATAAAAATCAAGATCTTGAGGCGGTCTGCAAAATAATGGATATCATGCATAATATGTTCTTGCACCTGAGCTGATAACTACGACAGTTGAACATGAATCAGGCACCCTGGATACCCTCAAGCTGTGATCCCTGCATTCAAGCGTTGAGTAATATCTGCATCCTGAGTACCTGCGCCCGACTCAACAGAGTACTTTCTCTCGGCTAGGCATATAATAAAGGTCACTGCTGTTTCATCTGCCGCATTTTGCATCACCCTATCAATATATGAATCTTGCCTTACCATGTTGGACTCCAAAGATGCCAAGCCGACGCCATTTGGCGAGAGACTGCTACCTACCATAATTGATGAATGGGCACACAATCATCCTCTCAAAGAGGTCTTCCAGATCCCCAATTCAAGTGATCCCAACGATGGCTGGAAAGTGCTTTCATCCAGCGCATATGCGACTGCTATCAATCATGTTGCGTATCGAATTATCGACCAGTTTGGGCAGCCAACGCAGGGAACATTTCCTACGATTGCATACATCGGCCCAAATGATGTGCGCTACCTAGTGAGTAAGCATAAAACGATATTTAGAGGTACTTTGTCGTTGATTGTTGGCCAGGTGATGATGGTGGCTGCCATTAAAGCGGGCTACAAGGTGAGTAACCGTCCCATACTACTGTGAGGACCTGGAACTGACTTTGGGCCAAGGCATTCTTCATATCGCCGAGAAACTCGCACCAGGGCCAGATTCATTTATTCAAACAGACTGATTGTAGAATCATCGCATATCCCCAGAATTCACATGCAATGGTGCAGCCGTGGCTAAATGACTACCCAATGATGACAATGGAAGTTGAACCATTGGATACCATGTTGCTGAGTAGTGGGCCTCACTTTCCATACGATAAGACGTTCCAAGAGGCTAAAATGGATCCTGTCGTCGTACTGCATACCAGTGGCAGCACAGGGTTGCCTAAGCCTGTTGTAGCTCGGGTGGGAATGGTGGCTGCTGGAGATGCAATGCACAATCTGCCGCCAAAACATGGGACTGTCCTTATGATGCGTGGGTGGACAGAACAGTCGAGGAGACATTTCGTTCCCAGCAAGTATTTCTACAATATATTCAGTATTAATGGAAATCTAACAATCAATTGGACAGTGCCATTGTTTCATGCAGCCGGGCTCCTCTCGTCTATCCACCTTGGTTTATACTGGGATCGGCCACTTGCGTTTGGTGTGGACCGTCCAATGTCGGCAGGTCTCATGGCAGAGTCAATTGACCGTTTGGACGTTGACATTGCTATTCTTCCACCATCTATCCTGAGTGCAATGAGCCAAGACGACGACTGCGTGAGGGCTCTGAAGAAACTCAAAATAGTTGTCTTTGGTGCAGGTAAAACACAACCACCCACCACATTCAGAAACGCAAACTCACGATTAACCAACCAGGAAATCTTGCGAATGAGGTTGGCAGAAAGCTTATTCAAGAAGGTCTTCGTCTGATGAATGCAATCTCATCGACGGAGTAGGTACCTTATCCTCATAAGTCTGCTCCTTTTGCTGACAACAACAGATTTTCGCCGTATCCCCTCTATTTCCAATCCCGGCCGGAGCTATGGCGGTACTTTATTATTCCCGCCGACATTATGGGAGCAGATTGGCGTAAAAGTGATACTGATGGCGCTTATAAGCTTGTCATCAAGCGCCAGGGAGCAGAGCCTGGTCTTCAGGGAGTTTTCTACACATTTCCAGACAAGAATGAGTACGACACCCATGATCTGTTCACGCCGCACCCAACTTTGGCAGATCATTGGCTATACTACGGTCGGGCTGACGATATTATCGTTTTCTCCAACGGCGAAAAGCTCAATCCTGTGACAATTGAGGAGGTAGTAACGGTGCATCCTCAGATTCAAGGTGCACTGGTGGTGGGCTCTGGTCGATTCCAAGCTGGTCTGCTCATTGAACCCGTGTCACCCCCCGAGAGCGAAGAAAAGAAAGTGGCCTTGATGGACAGCGTGTGGTCGCTCGTCTCCCAGGCTAATGAAGACACTGTTGCCCATGGGCGTATCGCGCGGCACATGATTGCCTTGACTGATCCTACAAAGACGTTCCCGCGTGCTGGGAAAGGCACCATCCAGCGTGCCGCAGCCCTGAAGCTTTTCGAAGCGGAGATTGGCCAATTATACGAGCAAGATCGCGTCATTTCCAGCGAGGATGTTGCTCCGTTGGATCTATCTTCAGATCAAGCGGCTGCCGAGTCTGTCCTAGGCTTGTTCAGGTCCAATCTGGGAGTTTCTCTGCCAGACTTAGACAGCGACCTTTTTGCCTTTGGTAAGCTGTTCTTGAGAGCTGGTCATCAGCAGCCTTTCAGACCTCACCTGTTGTATCTGAAAATAGACTGATGTATTTCAGGGGTCGATTCACTTCAAGTGATCAACGCCACCAAGCTTCTGCAAGCGAGCGTCCACCAACTCGGGCATCACGCAATAGACGAGAAGCTATTCCCAAAGACCATCTATAGTAATCCTACGCCTTTCCGGCTTGGACGCTACATACGGGGCCTAGTAATTCATGATGATGATGCTAGTCTTGCATTTGAAGATGATGATGTCCAGCAGCAATTGATGAAACAGCTTACTGAGAAATACACAAAGGACTTCACTTCATCGAAGCCAAATCGACCCGAAGGATACCATCAGGCTCAGACAATCATTCTAACCGGCTCCACTGGCCAACTCGGTTCCTACTTACTGGATTTGCTGATCCGAAGCCCTCAAGTATCGAGAATTGTGTGTCTCAATCGTGCCAAAGATGGTGGATTGGAGCAACAACGTCAGGGCATGAAAGAACGCGGCCTCAGCTCCAACTTTACCGAAAAGTCCAGCTTTCATCATGCTGATATATCCAAACCAGGCTTTGGGTTGCCAAGCGATGTGCTTCGCGATCTCCTCCACAATGCCGATCGATGGATTCACAATGCTTGGCCTGTCAATTTCAATATTCCACTGGAATCTTTTGAGCCACATCTCCGCGGCGTGCGCAATGTGGCCGATTTTGCGACACAGGCCAACAAGCGTGTAGCAGTCATATTCATATCGTCCATTGGTACTGCAAGCAGATGGGATTCTACCAATGGACCGATTCCGGAAAGCCGACTTACTGACACGAGTCTTGCGGCCGCGGGATATGGTCGAAGCAAAATGGTTGGAAGCCTGATTCTTGAGGTTAGTAATCGTTGCCATTTCTTCCGTATTGATGTATAATTAGGAGTATGGCTTTGGTATCTTGACGACCCGAATTGAGCAATCACTGACACCCTTTGATGAATAGGCCGCGGCGGCATCAGGCGACTTTCCTGCAGCCGTGCTTCGTGTTGGTCAAATCGCAGGCCCAGAGAAAGGGACTGGAACGTGGAATAAGCACGAATGGATACCGAGCCTCATTGCCAGCAGCTTGTATCTTGGAGCCCTGCCTTCTGACCTGGACAATGCTTCGGATATCGATTGGACACCAGTCGAGAAGATTGCCGCTCTGGTGTTGGAACTTGCCGGAATTACACAACTGATGGATCCGGCAGACATAAGTGGTTATTACCACGGTGTCAACCCCCATCGGACCACGTGGGATTCCCTCGCTGCAGCTATCAAGGACTATTATGGTTCTCGTCGCATTCGCGAGCTTATAAGTTTCAAGGAATGGACACGCAGGCTGGAAGAAAGCGGGCAAAGCTCTACGGAAATTGACCTGAATCCAGGCATCAAACTACTCGACACGTACCGTGGTATGGTCGCTGCGATGGAATCAGGGCATCCGTCTCCCCGTTTCGCCACGCAGCGAACAGAGGCCCAAAGTCCAACCATGCGCCAACCGCAGTCTATCACGCCTGATCTTATGAAGCAGTGGTGTAAGCAGTGGGGATTTTGATAAAACGAGATTACGCTTCGGCCTTCGGCCGAAGCTTCACTCTAGTAGCATAATAATAAATAAAAGCATTATATTTTATATAATTATATAGCATAAAAAAAAAATCGTGGCCTATTAGCTTAACCTTTTATTACTCGGTAGGGCGGGCGCAAAATAGCCTGCTACCGTATACCGCCTTCTTAAAATAGCGGCAGAATTATTTTTTTTTTATTTAAGCAGGGGTTCCTTTCCGTAATTTCGGAAATTTTTTTTTTTTATTAAATTATATATAAGTATTTTATTATTTTTTATTAAATTAATCGTACGAATTTATACGAAAAACGTAATTTTTATAAAAATTTTATATTAAATATTACGATTTTTATATTTTAATTTATTTAAATTTAAGGTTAAAAAATTACGTTTATATTAATTCGTTTAAATTTATTTTTTTTTAATTAGCGTTTACGCTAATTCGTTTTTTTTTTCCCGTTTTATTTATTTTCGTATAAATCCGATTATACCCGGCACCGCTTTGCCTAACCCGGGCGGTAATAAGCCGGATCTTTCCGATTTTTCCGTTTTTCCGGTAAAACGTATACGATTTTATATAATTTTAAGCAATACCACTAAAATTATTAAAAAATCTAGCAAAAGTTTTAAAAAAATTATTTACGTTTATATAAATTCGGTCGACCCCGATTATAATAATTCGGGTTAGCTCGAAAATAATAATTTTTTACGATTCCGAATAACGCTATATAAATTAGAAAAAATATCGTATTTTTTAAAATTATTCCTTTTATTAACCCTAAATTAACCAAATACGTTTATAATAAAGCTCGTATATCCCCGATTAATATAATTAATTAAATATTTTTTTTATTAAAATTTATATTAATTTAAATTTAATTGCGTTATATTATATTAATTTATATAAAATTATTTTATTTTACGCGTAATTATATTAAAAACTAAATAGGATAATAATTTTTTAGCTTTACGCAAAATTAATTTTAAGCGTTAGCAAAATTTAATTTAAGCTTTATTATATATATACGGCACCGTATAAATTTTTATATATACGAAATATTTTATAACGGTTACTAATAATTTTTATTTTAAAAGCAATAGCATTTTCGAATATTATATTAATAAATTCGGTTTTATATTTTTTAATATAAAATTATACTAATTTATTAATTTTTAATTTATATTATAAAATTTATTATATTAATTATATTTAAATTATAATTTTTTATTTTTTTAATTGCGCTAATAGGTTTTTTTTTTATATAATTTCGTATATATTTGCTAATATTTATACGAAAATAATAATAATTTATTTATATTTAATACCCCCGGTAAACTCCCGGGTAAAATTATATTTAAAAATTATAAAAAATTTTTATTTAATATTACGTTTAATTAATTCCGTATTATAAATAAACATTTTTATTTAAAATTATATAAATTTAATTAATTTTCGTTTTAGCATTTATAATAAATACTAAAGCTAAAAAATTTAAATTTAAAAATAAAAATAATAACGGTAATAATAATAATAATTAATATAGCTTCGTATTAATTTATTCGCTTTTTTACGCGTTTAAATTATTTTAATTAGGCACGTACGTATTTATACGGATTTATACGCCTATACCCTAATCCGGCCTTTAGTTTAATACCAGCCCGATTAAAAAATAATAATTTTATTATTAAAATTTATATAAATCCGTAATATTTTATATATATATATATTATTAATTATAATTTAATATAATTATATTTAGCGCCTTTAAATAATCGAATTAAAATTATTAATATTATACGGTATTTTTAAATTTTATTTAATTAATATTTTAGGCTATATAATATTTAATCCTTTTTTTTTATTTTCCGGAATTAATATTATTAAGTTTCGTATATCCGTTATTCGAAATATCGCTATATAAAATTATTTATATATAAAAACGTTTTATTCTAAATTAATTCTAATATGCTAAAACGATTATTTTTAAGCTTTATATATAATTATACTAAAATATATTTTTAAAAGCAATTAATATCAATTTTATTTATGGCTATTATAGCTTTTTTTTAAAAATAACCTTATTTTCGGGATTAGTTTTTCGTTTTTATTAAATAAACCTTTAAGGATTTTTATTTTTATTTTTATACGGCCTAATTTTAATATAATTATTTTCGTGCTATTATATAAACCTTTTTTTAGTATTTAATTACGTAATAATAATACCGGGATTCCGAAATATAATTATAATTCGTAATTAAGAAGATTTGCTAGGTTTATTTTATATAAATATTTTATTAATGGTATATTATCGTTTATTTATAAGATATTATCGATTTAGTTTATAAAAATATATTTGTAAATTTTACCTTTATAGCGTTCGAATACAAATATATTAAATGCTTATACGGTATTATTTTTCGGTAATAAAATATATCGAAATTCGAAAAAAAAATAGTTTTAATTACTATAATTCGATCGTAAAATAAATTATTTAGGCTAAAGCTTTAATTATTCGGATTAATCGGATTTTATTTAGAATAATTACGAATCCGCGCAAAATTAAATCGTATAAAAGCTTATAAAATTATTTTATATATTTTTAGTTTTATTTATTTATTAATTTAAGCCGTATATTTTAAATTAATTTAAACCTACGCAAATATTTTTAAAAATAAAAGTGCTTTAAATAATTTTATATAATATTTTTTAATTTTATACCCTTTAATACCGGTAGGATTTAAGCAAAATCGCCTTTAAATAAAATAAGAATACCGTTAAATCGTTTATTTTGTTAAAATACGTTTTAAAATATATAATTTATATATTCGAAATAATTTTTAGTTTATAAAATAATTTTATTTTAAATAATTAAATAGGTGCGGCTAAATAAATTTATTAAAAAATCCGGTATTTTCGGCTTTGCTTTCGGATTATACAGAATAAGGATTCGAAATTTAAAATATATTATTTAGCCTAAAAATAATAAAAATACTACGATTCCGGATAAAGCTATATAAATTACGATTTTTTTTTTGCGCGCGATATCGGTAATAAATTGCTTTATATAAAAAGGTTTTCCTAATCCCGGCGCCGTTTTATATAAAAAATAATATACCGGTTTATACCGCATCAATCGCTTCCGTAATTTTATTATAAACTGCGAATTATCCCGGGTTAAGCTAATAATAAATTAATTTATATAATTTTCTTTTAGCTTTTATATCGTAATTTAGTTAAATTTTAAAAAATAAATTATTATACCGAATCGCCTAATTATATATTAGAATAGGTAATTTTGTATTATTTATCGATATACCGTGCAAAGCTAAAATTTATTAAATTTTAAAAAAACCGAAATTAAATTCGGGAAATTCCAAACCTATTAAAACCTAATTTTTTATAATTATATTTAAACGGTATAATAAATTATCGCATAAAAGCGATTTAAACTCGTTTTATAAAGCTATTACGTCGATTATATTTTTTTTCGCGATAGCAAACGCAAAAAGTTTACGGAATTAAAAAACTAATAATAATTCTTTTTATTCCGCGAATAATTTCGACTAATATTAATTATTTTAAAAAAATTTTAATACAAAATAGGCAGATTTAAAGCTAAGCTAAATTTTATTATTAACGGTTTATAAAAACTCGAACGAAATTAAACCGGATATTTTATTAAATAACAGCCTAAAATAAAACCATTTATTTTAAAACGGATAAACGAATTTTATTCGGCCGATAATATAAATTTAACGTTATTTGCGTATTTATATATAAATGCTTTTTTAAAACGTATAAATATAAAAAAAATCCTAATATAAAATTTGCCGTAAATTAATATAATATTAATTATAATTAAAAAAAGCTTATAACGTTAATTTTTTATAATTATTTTATTTACGGATTTTAGGCAAATAAACGATTAGTTTTTAAACGGGCGGATTTTAGTATTTAATTTTAAAACCGTAAATATTCTAAATATTTTAAACGGGATTAAAATATTTTATAAAAAGGTATTTTTAAATTTTATTTATTATTTTAAGTTATATAATGCTTATAGCATTTTATTCGGTATTACTAATCGTTAACGGTTAAAATAATACGGTATTACGGTTTATACCTTTAAAAATATATTTATAAATATATTTTATAACTTATATTAAAGCGCATATTTCGATATTAATATATATATTATATTTAAGAAAAAATACGGGGTTATACGGGATAACCTAATTATTACCTAATTTAATTTTTTTCGATATACCGTTTTCGAATATTTTACAATATATATAATCGCTATTATTTTTTCGGCGGTATAATAAATATTTATTATTATTAATTATTATATAAAATACGAAAGGCTTCGGAAATTTTTTAAAATAGCATATATTTAAACGGCCTAAAGCTAATTTATTTAAAATAAAATTATCCGGGAATTTTAATATTATATAAATTGCTTAAAAGTTATGCTTTCCATATAATTTATAAAATATATTAAATTTTACGATTCGTTATAATCGTCCGTTTAAATTTATATTAATTAATAGCAGCTCGGCTTAAATTACGCAATCGATATTCGATTCGGTTAAATAACGTTACCGATTTTCGCTATTAAAAAATAATAAATAATATATATACGGTAAACCTCGCTTTTAATATTTAATCGTTTAAATATAGCTTATATATTTACCGAAAAATTTGCCTTTAATTATATTTTAAAAAAGCTAATTAATTTTTATATAAAAAACTTTTATAATTAAATTTAGTCGATCATTAGCCGTTTAGCCCGGTTTTAGCTTACGCATAATTTTAAATTAATTTAGGTTTGCCGTAAAAATAATAAATTTAAATAATTTGCCTAATTCGCGTATAATAGCTATAAAATTTTAATAACACCGTAATATAAAGCGTAAATTGCCTTTATATAAAACCAGTAATATTACCTAAATAATATTTAAAATTATTATATTATCGTTTTGTCGTA